TGTGAATCAGGCAAAGTCTACTTGTGCAAATTTTTACATAGGATTACTGCTTGACTCAACCATTAGATCCCTAAAAACATCACTATGCAGTAGTTCCCTGATTTCTTTATCTTCTATCCTTTGGCATGCTTGTTTTTTACTAGGGTATCCAGAAGAATTTTCACTTTCTGTTCATTAGCATGATGCCATCAAAATAGTGGGTCAGTAAGATGTTTTGCAGAATGTCAGGATGATCAAAATCCCTTTGGTCTGTACTATGGAGAGAATTAACATGCTCCGAGACGAAACAAAGAATTTGCACTGCTCACATATCTTCCCTCAGATATAGGAACTACTTTTTATTGTCTTTAGTCATGGGCATTGGAGAGAATCCAATTTTTAGATCGTTGACGCTAGAAAGCTCAGTCATATGGCATCATTTACTTTCATCCCGGACCTATGGAGAACAACCACCACTGACCTACTCAAACACTGATGCCCTTCTCACTCTGTATTTCTTATTGAATTAATGGATGGAGAGATCTGTGAGTCTTTTCAGGGACCATTCTAGTGGTGGGTTCTGTGGTTGTATGTACTAAGTCCTTTCTTACATCCTCACCTCCCTGAGCTTTCTTTTAATACTCTGCCAAGAAATTTCCAGCATTTCCACCTCAGTTACTATGGGCCATTGTTGTGTCTAAGCTTCAGATAGCCTTCTTAGCAGCATATTAGGACTGGCTTCAGTTGTCCTTGCTAGGTGATTAAATCTTACATTATGGAAGAGTTGTCCCATCAAAATACATTTCCTACCCAGCTATATATTTGTCCGCTGGTTCAGCACTCCCACACATGTTCCTGCAAGTACATAATAGTCAAGTTCTGTGATTCTTATGGTGAATAAACTTTTTCTTTCCTGGACAAAGGCTCTTTTCCCATTTGAGCTTTGCTTTTACCTGATCCTGGATTTGTTGGTCTGTAGGCAATGAGTGGAGACAGGGAGGATCTTGAGAAGGAAGAGCATCATCTTTTGAGACACTCACCTCAGATGATATTTTTGCATAGTCCCTAAGTAAAAGAAGTCTGCCCTCCCTAGCAAGGAAGAGGTCTTTACCAGCTAGAGTGTTCAGGAGATTTTAGGGGTTCATCGTTTCAAGTGTATTCACCTAAATATCCCCTTTGCAGATCTCAGAGTCTGTTTCATCCAGAACCCTGATTTTTATATAATGGTCCTTTTGAGGCTGTGCTTTTGGTCTTTGCTGTTGTTCTACCCTTAGGATTAAATACTGGGCCTCATTTTCAGCATAGTGTGTTTTTATGTTTCAAGTTGGTAAGGATTCTTTATATATTACCATAGAAGCATTTTAGCTTCCAGGGAGTATCCTGAGTTGATAGTAGTGGTCTGTCCAGGTTATGCATTCAGTTTTCTTTATGGTTTGTTGCAGCTTGTGATTTAAATCTGAGCCTGATTTTTAACACATATTATCTTTATGGCTACAGAAGATGAGAGTCTCTTTAAATGCTGCCACAGAGGCCCCTGTCTTTCACAGTGTGTCCTGAGTCAATAGTTGGCTGACCTATGCCTGTCATTCTCTTTCTTCAAGGCTTCCAAGACAGTAAACAAAAGCCAACCAACTCTACAATCCCTTTAATTACCATGGCCCCCATACTGTTCAAGTTTGAGCTACTACATAATCTATTGTCTCCCCTTCCACCTGTATTTCATCCCAATCTACCACAGGTGAGAGTCCTAGTATTTGTATTTCTATAGCATGCCAGAGGTTATCACTACCCTCCTTATCTCAAAAAAAAAAAAAAAAAAGGTTACTTGTGTTGCCTAATTTGTAAACTCTTTAATTACAGAGTTACATTCAAACTAACCTTGTTTAAAATGCCTTGCAGATATAATGGAGGACTGCTAGAATTTCATAAAAGCCTACAAGAAATAGGAGATACAAATGATCATTGGTTTGACATAGATCCTACAGAAGACAAAGATTTACCTACAACTTTTAAAGTAAGAAATTATTTAAGAATAATATTGCATCTATCACTAATCAGAATCATCTTTGATAAAGTACAGTTTATGTTGTCATATTCTCTAGCAAGCACATTCTTTAATTGGAAATTAGATTTTTTATTTAAGAAATAACCTTGATTTCATTACCTAATACAGAGTATGATTCAACAAGTAGCATTTCCAAACAAAAAGATTAAAAGCTTTGTTAGCATTTCCAAACAAGAAGAGTAAAAGCTTTACTAGTCTAGTACTTCATATCGCTAGAGCTAAATGTAATAGTTAACTTCTTTTTTTCAAATTATATTGACCATTATTTTGTCACTGATTTAAATTTTAGAAGTACTAAATGCTTACTTCAGAAAACTTGAAAAGTATAAAAATTCCCAAAGATAAAACTAAAATTTGTCTATATTTCTTTAAATGGAGAAACCATCGTTAGTATTTTCATTTATGTCTTTCCAGACACACACCCTGCTATTATCCTAAGCATACCAGTTTTTCACTATTAAGTAAAGTGATCTCTGTGTATTTCTCACATCATTCCCTTAGGATAAATTTGTAAAGGTGGATTGTGAAGCAAGTTTTTACACATTTGTAATGTTGTTGATATGTATCTCCATATTTTCTCTCAGAAAGTTTGTACCAGTTAATACTCTTAAGGCAGAGTATGAGGGTTTTCATTTTTTCACATCCTCTGGGTATTCTTTACTTTTTGGATAATATTTACTCATTTGATAAGTCATATTGGTCACTTTTCAATTTGTTTAATATAAAGATTAGCTACACTAGGTTTCTCCTGGTTTGTGTTTGAATGACATATCTCTTTTCAAACTTTTACTTTAAACCTTTGTGGATCCTTATATTTAGCTGACTTTAAGCCAAATATATTCCTCAAAATGAATAGGGATATTTCATAAAAACATAAAATTCAATTTTCTAGAAAGCTATAGTAACTCGGAATTTGTACATGTATAATAATATAGCCTCAAAATAGATGGGACAAAAACTGATAGAACTGAAAGGAGAAATGGAAAACTTCCAGTCACAGTGAATTATTTTAATATGCCTATCTTAATAATCAGTAGAATAAGCAGACAATTTTTGGCATTTGTCAGGATAACCATATGACTTTTAACTTTGATTTCATAAAGAAATAATTTTATACATTTTAAAAAATATTGAACTTCCGCGATTGCCTAAAGCAATCCTTACTTGGTCTTGGTTGTTTTTCTCCTTTTCTTCCATCTTTTAAAACATCTTTCTTTATTATCCAAACTTTTTTATTGAATTTATATTTTATGTATACAATTTGTCAAATTGTAGTTTCTAACTAGAAGCAACTTATTCCAACTCTGTAGGCATTTTTATTTAATATTTACCTATTTTTTTTGAAAAGATGTACTGCAATTTGAAAAATTTCTCCATTTTAGATATTATCTTTTGACTTCTCACTGTGGAAGGCGAGGGTTTAGTAGCTCTCTTATACACCCTCTTCACACACACACACACATTTCCCTTCCCCCATCCTACTAACAGCTATACATTTTTATTTAATTGATCTAAGGTTTCCCTTTATTCCTGGGAATATTCTTCACCTCTCTCCTGTACAGAAACCTCTGTTTCTGGATCTCAGGTTTTCTTCTTTCCAGGTTTACTGCCTGGTGCTGCAACTCATCCAGCAGCTTCCTAGAAAAGGATGCTTTTTTGGGAGGTAAATTTTTTGAGATGCTTCAAATCTCAAAATAATTTATCCTTTGTATACTTAATTTATATTTTGCCTGGGCATAGAATTGTAGATTGAAAATTATTTTCCCTCATTTTTAAAAGTGCGTCTATTATCTTCTAGCTTCCAGTAATACTTCTTCTGAGAAATCTAATGTCATTCTGATTCTCAATCTTTTGCTTGTAACATGTTTTATTTTTATTTTTTTTCTTTCTGGGAGTTTTTAGGACATTCTGTGTATCCCTGGTGTTCTGAACTTATGTTGTTTGGCTTTAGGACATTTTCTTGATTTTTTTTTTTTTTTGATTTGATGATTTCTTCATTTTCTCTATTCTTTCTGAATATTATTCAGATGCTTGACATTATGGAATGAATCTCAGATTTTCTTATTTTTTTCCTATTTTTCACTTTTTGTCTTTTCATTCTGCTCTCTAGATTTTCTCAACTTTATCTTCATAGAGCTGCTATTCAGCTAGTACACACTAGTATTAATATATAATATATATTATTAACACAATGTAATATGTCATGTACTAATAATATTTTAATGTATATGTTATATAATATAGTGTATGTTGTAATATGTATTATTTATACATTACCATATAATATACTATATAACAATATACATTATATAACATATAATATATAACAATATAATATATAACATTATTATTATATGTTAAAATATTTTTATACTGTTTTGAAAATAGTGACTGCCATGAGTAGTTTCATGAGTACTCAGCCACCATTCCAGCTTCCCTGGACTGCCTGCCAAACCTCTCTCCTCATATGTCTCTATAATCCAATAACTAAAGCTTTGATGTCCAGTAGAGCAAAATGCTTCCATGATCCTACTCTGGCTCTAGGCCAGCATGTTCTTAATTTGTTACGATTGGTGCCTGTCAGACCACAAAAGTCTTACTTCCCAGACATTATGATTAGTTTTTTTTTTTCAGGGAACCTGGATAGCTGGCCTGTACCTCTTTATCTGGCACTGAGGAATTCCAGAAGCCTGCTCTGTCCCCACATGCTTCTATCCTCATGTGACTTTTTAAAATGAACTCATTCTGGTAGGGGAAGATAGCATCCCTGGAGATGCTGGCACCTTAGCAGGGTGAGGCCCTTTAATATAGTTATTATATTTAACATTACCTTTGTTCTGCCCTTTTGAATTTTTAATTTCAATAATTATTTCAGCTGTTACCTACCAAGAGTCAACTATGATCTACCAAAAGACTTTTTTTGTTATGAATGTTCTTTTATAAGTTTTTTAAATAACATCTCATTCTTTTTTCTAAAACTGCATAATATATTAGAGATAAAAGTTAGCTAGATCATGAAAGGCCTATTAAGCCAAATAAGGGGCTCAGTTTCGATCTTGAGAGTAATGTGTAACCCCTGAAGACTTTTAAACAATAGGATGATGTAATCAAAGTATAATAAAATATGAGTTATAGAATTTAGGACTTTGAATAGTTTCTGTATTTAGGGTAAGGAAGAAGTTAAGAAAGTTACAAAAATTAATAAAATAGTTACCAATTAGAGTTAGTCTTCTAAAGAAAAATAAGGGACTAGGACAGAGAAAATGGAAAGCACACACAGACACACACTTATACCTGCATATATCCATATTTATCCATTTGTATATACGCATAAATGTGTATGTGTGTCTGTGTATGTATAGTGGTTAGGAAAAGCCTCTTTGAGAGATGATATTTAAGAAAGAGGGTTGGAACCAAAAGATTGAGAATGGAACTAGCTCTGTAAAGAGTAGGGAGAAGAACATACTAGGTTAATGGAATAGAATACGAAAAGGCCCTTGAAGGCTTTGAAGAGCAAGTTTGAGAAACTTAAGAAACTATGTGAATTTTATAGTGAGTGAGGCTAGAGATGAATTTGAAAAGAGATCAAAGATGGCTATATACACTAGGTTTAGATTTTGCAGGTTCTGCAGGACCTTGCAATTAGATCTTAGTATTGGTTCTGGATTTTGTTTTAGGTACTTTGGGAAGCCATTGAAGTGTTGTAAGCAAGGAACTGACATAATCTGTTGCTTCTGTGTAGTGCTTTGGAGCAGTATAGTCACAGAAGAGGAGAACTAGTTAGGCAGCTATTAAAGTCAGTAATCTAGGTAAGATATAAAGAGGCAGATAAAAATGAAAGAGTGGAAATAGAAATGAAAATTCGCAATATAGTTTGGAAATAGAAATGAAAGAATTCACAATATAGTTTGGAAGAACACTCAATAGTACTTGCTGATATATAGCATATAAAGAGTGATAGAATCCATTATGCAATGGATGACTTCAAGATTTTGGCTTGAAGCTGAATAGATAGTGGTAGTTAAGATTGATGTAAGTCCCATGAAGGCTAACTATTAACCTGTTAAGTTCACTGCTGTATCCTTAACATTCCTTGACATTCACAACAGCCTGGCCCATAACAAACACTCAGTAAATATTTGTTGAATGAGCGAATGCCAAAGATTGGGGTCAGGAGATGAGGAATAAGGAACAAAGAACAGATTTGGTACGGAACCAATAGATCAATATTGAACTACTAAGTTCGAGATCTGTGAAACTGCAGTAAGTAAATACATACTGAGTCCTATTCTTTTGTTTTTGGCATCTCCACTTGGCTATTGGCTATCCCTGACAGGATATGCTACCTTCGTACTGATAGGTCCTAAAATGCTTCTCTTTTCTTTTTCTGTTATCAATTTAAAATTCTAAATGGCATTGAAAGAATGTTATGAATGGTGAATAGATTCATGAACTGATCTATGGAGGTTTATCATGTTGTATACCTTCAATATGTCAAAAATAATACTATTTGAAAATCTTGTAATACTACCCCTCTAAGAGATAAGTATGAACGACTTGGTCTAAGGACCTATTCAACTTAGACTTGATAATATGTTTCACCTATATTTAATCAGCATTTTAAGATGGGAAATTGCATTCCAAATTGTAAGTCTGAACATCGGAAGCCTATTTTTGTACCCTGCTTCTGCTCATTATGACAATGAGTGGCATATTGTACCACTACAGTAGTACCACTGCCAACATGGTGTCTTGGGGGCCAGTTTGAGCAAAGACTTTCCTGGGATCACAGTGATTTTTTTTGTCTCTTTGTATACAGATATCAGAGCAAGTAATTCTCGCTCTGAGACATGCAGATGTCTTGCTTAAAGTTAGGATGGTGGAATGAGGCATAGCTTCAAACATAGACTTTTTCCTTTTCTCCATGTTTATATTCAGTAAGAAATTCAGTATTTCTATTTTAGGGCCTTCCTATATATTGTCTACTTTGAGAAAAATAGATTCTATTACTGCTTTTTTAAAAAACACAATGCCTTCAAAAGCAATACGAAATGGTATTACTTAAATTACTTAAAATTACATAAGGTAAAATATTAGAAGAGTTGTCTTATTATTACCAACTCATGAGATTTATTTTTATTTTTTAAAATCTAGGGTCTTCTTAATAATTTTATCAAGACAACTGAAAATAACATAATGAAGCAAACCATTTGCAGCTATCTAGATTGTGAGCGATCTTGTGAAGCTGACATTTTAAAGAACACCAATTATAAGGTAATGTACTTATCAATTAACTGAGCATTTTTAAAAATGTAATTATAAAATTAAACTTAGATAAAAATTGTTATATTATCATATATCAAAATAGTGTTTAAAAAGAGTACTTGGTTTAATTATAGTGGTAATGCAGTTGAGAAGTTGAGTATCTCTGAGAATCATAGTAAGCTTGAATTATTTATATCCTGTGAGCCAATAAAAGAGTGAATTGGTTTTGCTAAGGTTTTTATAACAAGTTGTGTCTCTGAAGTTATGATTAATATCCCTGCCATCATACAGTGGAAATTATCTAAAATATTCTTTACAGTTAGAAATGTTATTTTATATTTATTGAAATGCATTTTACTAAGGAGAAAGGTTGTCAGTCCTGAAGAATTATGTTACTAAGTAAGTGATTATTATCTCTTCTATGGGCCTTGGGAAGAAAAAACATAACTAGCCTTGATTTGAAGAAATTCAGTAAAGTCCTTCAAGTCTAGTTTTCACTGGATCTATCAGAATAAAACTGAGAAATCACAAGATAGGATGAGATATGACTATCAGTGCATATCTGACACCACCTCTAAAAGATAATGGAACTCTCAGTTGAAATGAGTGGATGTTCTGGAATTAAATATGTGGCTATAGGGGACGTAAGGAGAAGGGCTGCCTAAAAAACATCGTCTAGAGAATGACAGTGGGGAAGGATTTTATATGTCTTTTTGTTTTTGTAAAAAGGAAAACTCAGACTGAAAGAATACATTTTATACTGAATTACAAATAAAAATAGCTATTATAATGGGAATATAAAAAGAGAGAGACATGATATGTACAGAAAAATGGAGTCGGTGAGGAGGAGGAGAAAGCCAAGATCTATTCAGTAGAGTAAATCAGGAATTGGGAAGTGGGCCTGGAAGTACAATGCTTAGGGTGGGGTAAGTTCAGTCTTGGTTTAGGTGACATGGTGAAATAGTTACAGTTTGCCAGGCAAACATCAGGGTTCCAGTCACATGGACAATATGTAGTGGCAGGAAGTCCTGGCCACAAAGTTTATATTTTTGTCATCCAAGCAGTCTACGTATTTAGAGAAGCAGAGCTGTAGTTCGCAGGGAGAGTACACTGGGAAGGACAAGAAACTTGTAAAGTTAAAAGTGACTTAAGGTAGTATTTTGTCTACCTATGTGAATTCCTATTTTCATGTCAACAGCTTACTTTCATTCTTTTCCAGGGATTTTTTCAGTTAATGTGCAGTAAAAGCTGCTGTGTTTATTTCCATAAAATTTGTTGGAAAAAGTTCAAGAATTTAAAATATCCGGGTGAAAATGATCAGGTACTTTATTTGTTTTTCCTTCAAAACTTTATTACAGCATATTTTCCTCTACTCTTTTCTTTTTTTTCCTCTTTCCTCTTTATTTCTTTCTGTTCACATCCTTTCTCCTCTATTTTTCTCTTTCCATTTTTCTTTCCTTATTCTCTCTGATGCTTTTGTCCTCAACATTCGTTGCTCATCATCACCATTTGTTAAACAGATCTTTGTAGGGGATACTCTGCTAGTAGCTTTGCTTAGTGATTTCTAGCAATTTGTTCCTTTCTCTATACTCTTAAGTTTATACTCTTAAGAATAGAAATATTGACCTTAATTTCAAATGCATACAAGAAGCTGCAAAACTGTTACTCTGGGAGCATGAAATCTTGCTCCTTGGAAGTTTTGCTCAAATAAACTCTTATAAAATTAAAAATATATATATTGTATATAGTCACATAAAGGACATAGAATCAAAGAAAAGAATTGCTTAATAAACAGAAAGGATAATTATGCAATTTTAAGGATAATTTCTATTTTAAGGGTAGAGAACAATGACATTTTAGTCTTCAAAAATCTATTTGTAATTATTTATATTTGTCTAAAATTGTATAACAAAGTTGAATTCTTTTCCACTAAAAGTAAAAATTCAAAGCCTGGTTCTATATTAATAACTCTTTGGTGAGCTAATGACCATAAGTTGGGTCTATAATGTTTGGTTCTAGAGTGTTTACATTGTACAAATGAAAAACTCTAATAAAGCAATTGTGATATAGTAGAGCATTTATTGTATATGAATCTGGGTTCAAGTCCAGATTGAGCCACTTAACTAGTTATTTTTTTTTTTACAGTAGGCTGGTAATTTAACTGCTCTGAGACTCATTTTTTCTAAGCCATGAAGTAAGGCTAGTAATACCTACTTCATAAGGTTGTCGTGAGGATTGACAGATAAAACAGATGAACTTGCATTGTTTTACACTAAAATCATTGTATAAAGCATTATTCATTTGTTTAAGCAGTGTGTACTTTTAACTTTCTCTGTTAGGACAGTCAGTATCGCTCAACTTTAAAAGAAAAGTTTAAAAAAGTAGGAAACTTAACAAGAGGAAATAAGGTCAGAACCAGAGAAAAGACTCACATTTTTATTCTCTTGTTTTCATTGGAATCCTCATATATCTGACGGAAACTCAGTATTCCTTTTTATGCTTACTTAAGTAGAACATTTTACTCAAAGTTGCTTTCCCTCTGGACAGAAAATACATCTTAGGCTAGAAAATAGCTACTTGAAGATTTCGAAGTGGAAATGATGAGAGAGAAAAGTGCAATCACACATTTTAAATAGGAAATCCATTAATACGTGAGATGGACTATCTTTGAATAACTAACTCTCAGATGTTTATTCAGATCTTTTGTTTTACCATCTAGCAACAGTCGCTTCCAACTTTATTGAAATAGATATACGCATCAGTAATTGTTTTCTCTTTTTATTGTTTGTATTTTTTCTTTTCATAATTTATTGTTTTTTCATAATTTATTGTTGATAACTTTAGAGTTTTAGTGGGAAGAAATGTTTGAAGGAAGGATGTACAGGTGACATGGTAAGGATGCTACAGTGTGATGTACCTGGAATTGTTAAAATCTTGGTGAGTATCTTTTTCTGATTTTTCTTACTTCTTTTCACTGGAATGGTATTTTCGGCTTCAAACACACTTGGGAATCATAATATTAGTATTCAAGCCTAATTCTCCTTGATGGTGACTAAGCATTCTGACTTTTCTATTACTTTGATTTCCCCAAAGTAGTATTTAAATGGTTCTTAAGAATAAGAAAATTTAAAAAATAAAGACACACACAAACATACCTAGAGAGAGAAAGAGAGAATGAGAGAGAGAGACAAAGTAGGCCATGGCTGTACCAATGAGAAAAAGATGTCATGAACCAAGAATGCTAATCTAATTCTGTGCCACTGAAGATTAAAAATGCTTTTAGACTGGCCGAACCTCTTTTAGTCTATAAACATCTTCCAGTGAAAATATCTACGGAAATCACCTATACTACCTGTTACATAAAATGTATTCAAATGATATCTATTTTATTTTTTAATTAATGAGATAACTTGTTGAATTTTTAGTTTATAAGTAAATAGACCAAAATTATAAATAGAAATATGTATTTTCTTTTTCTTTAGTTATACTCTTTGTATTTTAGATTTGGCATTTAAATCCTATAGAGATGTAAAGTAAAATTGCTTTTTAAGGTAAACTCTATTATAGTCTGTTGTTTGATTAGGATTGTTTATGGCTCACCTTGTTACTTCTGTTTTATTTATATTTTCTATAGCTTCATTCTCATTGTGTTTTTCAAACATTAAGGCTACGAGTAACATTAAAGAATTTTGAAAATTGAACTATTTCAGGGCTCTTTTTTTTCTTATCATTTCCAGTTTGAAGTTGTGAGAAAGGACGAATATATAACCATTGAAAATTTAGGAGCAAGGTAAGCTTGAAATAAAACATTCTACTTTTTTTCTGAGCTGCTTATGTTTTTCAGTTGCTGCTTCTGTGTTTTTGTCGCTTGTTAGAGCACCATTAAATTTAAAGGTAGTATTGTGTGGGAAAATGGTTTTTAATTGATATTTGTCTCACCCTCTCTCTTCTCATTTTGTAGACATTTAAATTAAAATGCAGGAAAGGAGAAATTATGTTGATACTTTCCCCTTAAGTATGAAAATAATCTTTTCCTTAAAACAAACATTTTTAAAGTTATTTAAATTAGGTCATTATGATATAAAAACTTTCTCCTACCTTTTAAAACTCATTTAGGCCTCTTAGCTTGACTGACAGTTAGAATCGTCTTGTTGCTTAGATGAGAAAACTTTATCACAGAAGAATATACAGTATAAGCTGGAAATAGAGTGTTGTTATTCATAGAGGTATAGAGTATTGTTATGGAAATTAGAAATTTCAATATAAAAACTCCTAATCTATTGATTCTCTTCTGTTTTAAAAGTAAATGTCTACGGTTTTTCAATCTATCAAGGACATTGCATTGATATCTAAGGCATTAGTTTTCCCTTATGAGCTAAATGAAACCCAGATCTTTATCTCTCGCATAGATCACACTCCTAAAATCTAGATATATCAGCCTGCATGCTGGATATCTCCACTTTTATTTTTCAAAAAGATGTATAGTTCAGCATGACTGCAACTGGACTTGCAAACTCTTCCCAACACTGTTCTGTAACATTTTTTAAGGCCAGTCAATTCTACTTTTTAAATATATTGTAAATGCCTCCTTTCCGTACTTCCACTAAACTAAATGAAGTTATTATTTCTCTCTTGGAATTCTGAAACAGCTTCTAAACTGGTCTTTCTAAACTAGCCTTAACTTTCTCCAATCTATCATTTATGTAGCCATCAAGAGCACTTTTCTAAAAGGAAAATTGAAATATATCACTTTTTTGCTTGAACGTATTTCAGAGGCTTCTTGTTGCTCTTAAGTTCAGACTCCTTAGCTTGGCTATTCAGTCACCTTGGTCCCTGCTGACCTCACTAGTATCATCTCTTGTTATTCTTTTCTTACTCAATATGCAGCAACTATACTGGGCTTCTTTTAGTTCTTGATTGTTCCATCCATTTTATCCCTAGGCCTTGCCTAAAATACTCTACTCCTTTGCCTGGTGAAAGCTTCTGAAAAGCTTTACTTAGATTAAATTAGGTATTTCTTGTCTTTTTGATAATAGCCATTCTAACAGGTATGAGGTGATATATCATTGTAGCTTTGATTTGCATTTTTCTGATGATTAGTAATATTAAGCACCTTTTCATATATCTGTTGTTTATTTTATATCTTCTTTGGAAAATGTCTATTCAAGTCTATTATTGATTTTAATTTGGATTTTTTTTAAATTATTGAGTTGGATAGATTCCTTATATATTTTAGATAATAACCCCTAATCAGATATATGATTTGCAAATATTTCCTCACTTTTTTTCCTTTTTTTTTTTTTTTACCTGCAATCGTTTATTATTTGAAAGACCTTAGATATACAAGTGGAAGCAACACGTGTTGTCGGGAGTTTAGCTAGAGCAGGAACTGCTAGAGTCACTTATTGGAGATTTATTAGTTTTTTTTGGTGGTGTCATGCTACATGATTCTTCATGATCTTTGTATCCATTGGTATCTGAACATTTGAGTATGTGGTCTCTCCTCTTGCAGACTTTAGTTTTTATTTTAGTAGAGAAAGAACTTCACCAGTCAGCTCAGCTTGGGGTATTGGATGAGTCAGCTGGTAGTATCTGTAGATAAGTGTGGCTTCTAGTTACATGAAGCCACAGCCTGTGCTTCAAGGTTGGAGATGAGGTTCTTCTGGCTGGACTTCATGGTTGGGTCAAACTTGTGGCTGGGCTCCATATTCAAGTGGAGCTGCTGGCTGGACACCCTGGTCAGGTGGGGCTGACAGCTATGTTTTACAATTAGGTAGGGCTCCTAGCTATGCTCTGCAGTTACCTCTGGTCATGTAGGTTTGTAGGCTTTGATCCTTTTCAGGGCATTGCCACTGGGTGAATTCTGTGATTGGGCAGGGCTTTAGGCCATGGCCATAATTGCTTCTGGTTGAGTGGATCCTCAGGCTGAACAGATGGTACTACTGACTGGACTTAATATTGCAGGTGGAAACACAGGCCAGGCTTCATGGTCAGATGGGGTCTTAAGCTGCACTCTGAGATCAGGTAGGGCCACAGGCTATGCCCTGAGGTTGAGCAGGGCCACAGGTTGTGCTTTGAGATTAGGAAGGTTGTTAGCTGTGCTCTGCTGTTGAGTGAGGTTGCTGTCTTGAGTGATTCTTGCTAAATTTGAGCTATTGAGGATATGAACAAGGGTGGGGCCTAGTTAAAAAAGAGCCTGACTAGAGTTTGGTCAAGGAGAGAATCTTTATTACCAGATTCAATTTCTAATATGTTTAAAGGATTTCTGCACTATGTTCCTAACAGATATTGATCCACAGTTTTCTTTTTATACTAACTTTGGTGATTCTGGATATGGTGTCAAGATAATGCTGGCCTCTTAAAATGAGTTTGAAAATGTTCCTACCTCTGTTTTGTCAAAGAGTTGCTGAGAATTGATACTGTATCTTTTATAAATGTTTTAAACATTCACCAGAGAAGCCATGTAGAACTAGAATTTTCTTTGAGGTTTTTTTTAAAGTAGTAATTAAATTTCTTTAAGAGACATATGGCTATTAAGATTATTTTTTTCTTGAATGAACTTTAAAAGTTTTAGTTTTCAGGGAATTTGTCAGTTTCATCCAACTTATAAATATTCATATGATCCCTTTATCTGTAGATGCTAGAGCGATGTCACCTTTTTCATTCCTGGTATTGGCAATTTGTGTTTTTTTTTTCTTTTTTTTCTTGATTATGCTGGCTAAATGTTTAACAATTTTGTTACCCTTTTCAAAAATCTGGATTTTTAAAAATTAATTTTCTCTAATATTTTTCTGTCTTTAATTCATTGATTTCTTTCTTTGTTATGTCCTTCTGCTTGCTTTGGGTTCAGTTTGCTCTTTATTTTTTTTTTAAGGTTAAAGTTTCATGACTGATTTGAAACCTTTTTTACCAACTAATTTCCCTTTAAGGATTGGTTTTTGCTGTGTTTCTTCACACATTTTGATATGTAGGCTTTTTTTAAATGTTTCAATTCAAGTTTTTTTCTGATTGTGTGTTTGTGCTTTTTAATTGCCAAATATCTGGGGGATATTTCAATTATCTTTCTAGATATTGAATGCTAGTTTAATTCCCTTGTGGTCACAGAACATATTTTCTAGCATTACAGTCTTAAAATTCATGGAGATTTATTTTTTGACACCTAATATTGTATATTTTTATTAATGTCTCATGCATTTGAAAAAAATCTGTATGCTGCTGTTGCTTTTGTTTAGTGGAATAGTCTGTACATTCGCTAAGTTGGTTTATTAGTTTTATTTCTGTATTCTTTATTATTTGTTCATTATCTGCTTATTTATTATTTATTATCTGTTTATTCTTTCAGTCACTAAGTGTTGAAGTCTGATATCAGTATTTTATCTTTGTCTATTGTCTATTTATGAATTTTGAAACCACTAGATTCTACATAGATATTTAGGGTTATTATCTTTTTTCTTTTTTTTTTTTAGGCGAGGCAACCCTAGGTTGACCTCATAGATCGCAAGGACCTTGTCAGTTTACAATCCCTTATGTATGTATGTATGTATATGTTTTTATGTATGTATGTATGCATGTATGTATGTATGTATGTATGTATGTATTTTTTATGCCTCCAGCACCTGGTCTTCCTAGGTAGAGTCTCCCATCCAAGTACTAACCAGGCCCGACCCTGCTTAGCTTTCGAGATCAGACAGGATTGGACTTGTTCAGGGTGGCATGGCCGTAGACTTATCTTTTTTTTCTTGATGATTTGACCCATTTATCCTTCTGTAACATCCCTTGTTACCATTGATAATACTGTTTTAAGCCTCTTTTGTCTGATATTTATATGGCTATTATAGTTTTCTTTTGATTAGTATTTGCCTGGTATATCTTTTTGCATTCATTTACTTCAATTTCTGCATATAGTTTCTTATAGACAGTATAGGTCTTGCTTTTTTTATATCCAACTTGACAATGTCTATGTTTGAATTGAATGATTTATTCCATATAAATTTGCAGTAATTACTGATATGGTTGGATTTAAATCTCCCATATTTTTGGTTGTGTTCAATTTTCATCTATTTTTTGTTTTTAATTATCTGGGGTTTTTTTTCCTTTTTTTTTTTTTTTTTAGTGTTTGCTCTCAGACTTATGCTATATATTTTTAACTTAGAAAAATCTATTTTCAAATAATATACTACATCACATATAGTGTACAAATCTTACAGTAAGTAATTCCATTTTTTCTCATCTTTTGTGCTGTTGTTGTCATGTTTTACGTCTGCATATTTTGTAAATCCCATAATATATTATTACTTAGAAGTGTAGTTTAATTTTTTTGTTTGGAACGTTATATACATTTAAAAAGTTATGTTTTCTATGCTTTTTAACTATACATTGTTGGTGTGATTTATTCTTACTATTTTCATTTCATTACTATAATTTATTATATGGCTATACTACTTTAATTATTCTACTACTGAAAGACTTATGGGTTATTTTAAAATTTAGGTTGTAATAACAGCGCTATGAAGAACATTCCTATACATCTCTTCAGGAGTATATGTGCAGAAAATTTTCCAGAATATACAGCTGGGAGTAGAATTGCTCAGCCATTTATACCTATTTTCAACTTTACTAGATTTTGCTGAACTGTTTTCCACATTGGTTTTACCAGTTTACACTCCCACCAACTGTATAAGAGAATTCCTCTTATTCACTAATTTTGCTTATACTTCATATTGTTAGAGTTTAAACTGTTTCCAGTGGTTGGCAGTGTTATTGGTGGCACCGGAAACAAAATCAGTTAAAACATCCATCACCGAAATCTCTGTCCTCATTAAACTTATATTCTAGTATTATCTGAGTGTTTGATTTTTTTGTTTTGTTTTCTGAGGAAGAGTTCATTTCAGAGCTAAGCCACAAGTTTTTTCATCTGTTTTATGGCAACATTTACTTAGTGTTTAGTCTATTTAATAAATTTTGCTACTTTTCCCTGAATTTTTTCTAATTATTTTTATTGATGTTACGCTAGTTTCCCTCTCTCTTTTTTTAATCACGTGTCATTATATGAGTTGAAGTTTCTTGGAATAGCTGTTAGTAGGAAGATTCTGTGGTAGGGAGGGCCTGAGAGAAGGTCTAATTTTGCTGTTTTTTAACAATGTAAAGTTTTTTTTTTTTTCTGCAACCATACAGCCTTCTTGCAGATAAGATAGATGAGTGATTTTTTTGAAGAGGGGGCGTATGAAATCTAGAAATTCTACTTGCCTCTTAATTCCAATGAAAATGACAATGCAGAGTTGTCATTGGTGGTTTTTGTTTGTTCATTCATTTTTCTCCTTTGCTTTTAAATTATTTCTAGGAGGAAGAGAAGAAAGTGCTCACTTACTTAACGATGCTGATACCAAAAATCTGACTGACTTTGGTATTAACTGTAACAATTTTTTTTCACTTTCAGTTATAAAAAGTTGATGTCTCTGAAGATAACTGATACTGATATAAGACCGAAGATCAGTTTAAAATTTAGTACAAAAGGTATTATTTTATTTTTATATGTCTTTTATCAAAAAATATGTTTAAATTTTTGACTTATTCTGTAAAGTATCATGCCATTAACAACCATGTGTTTATTTGTGTTTGTCATCCACTGGGCATCACTTGGCGTAGGCTGGAATTCATGGACAGAAAGATCAGCAAGTGTATGGTTCTCACATTACCTAGGCGTCCTATAGAGAGGTTTGCTAGGTCTGGTGCATAGCTCTGACTTCACAGAGAGTGGCTTCAGCAGATGTTCCCTACTAACCCTCCTCCCTTGTTGCATTCCCTGTTAATAAAGCAAAATGGAAGGAATGAACATTTGGGGCTCAAGGCAAAGTAATCTAAACTTAGGTGCCAGCTGTTTAGGACTGTGCTAGTAAATGGCAGCTGCTCAGCATTTGGAGAACTTACGGGCTCCTAGTCCCATGGAAGAATAGTTTGGAAGAATAGTTTGGTGGCATTCCTTCTTGCTAGGGGGAATGGATGTCCCTGACCCTAGTCTGCTTTTTATTTGGCAACTCAGAGAAAACTCTCTGAGTCATTTGCTTTGTAATTTGCTTGCCCCTACGATGTATATCAGGTATATCAAGCAAGAATATTAGTTTAAATTTCTCTTGAAACACAGAATCATAAAGGGTAAAATAATAAAGCTGTATTTTGTGATAAACACATTTTAAAAAAATTCAGACAACAAATATGCTATATTCTACATTCTTACTACTTTCTAATTCATCTTAGTCTACTTTCCTCCTTTGGAAGTGCTACTAAATCAGAAAAATACCAAACAGGTCAGTCACATGCCTTATTCCATTTCATTGATGAAATATCCACTTTATCATTAATCTATTTTTTAAGAGGGTAAGAACATAAGGTTCATTAGATAAGTGTGTCTCAAACTTTAATGTATTTTTAAATCATCTGGTGATTTTGTTAAAATGTAAGTGCCAATTCAGTAGCTCTCAGGTAGGGCCTGAGATTCTCCTTTTCTAACAGACTCCCTCCCATGTGGATGCTGAAGCTGCTGGTCTATGGCCTACGCTTTGTGTAGCAAGGCATTAAATCACTTTATGTTTCTTGATATCATTCTTTGTTGTATAATATGGCAGCCACTAGCAATATGTGGCTTTTCAAATTTAAATTAAGTATAATTAGATAAAATTTCAAACTTAGTTTCTTTGTCAGACAGCAACATTTCCAGTGTTCAATGACTAGTGGACAGTGCAAATCTAAAACATTTTTATTATAGCAAATTCTGATTAAGTAAGTGCTGATTAAGATAGACTATAATTGCCTAAGTAAGGTATAATTAAACACTGGCAGTTACAATTCTTAAAAATCTTTAGAATTGAAGTCCTAATATTTTTATGCCATTTGGTTGCCAAAGCTCATTTACTTGAACAAAACCCTGGATGGTTGAAAGGCTTCTTTGGTGATTAGTATTTGTGATTACTTTTGCTTGTGAACATGTTTTTGTTTGGATTTTTTGACTAGTAGACAGATAGCAGCATGCTTATTGAGCACTAGCTGTAGCAAAGCACTTTACTGTACTTCATTCTTTTGGAATAGTCCCTCTCCTACAGGAGCTTAGAATGTAATAAAGGGAAACCACATAGAAAAAGAGCATTAATGTGGAATGTCTTGACTTCTCAAAATTCATTTTCAGATGAGATGCCTGTCTTCAAACTTGATTATAATTATTTCTATCATCTGCTTCATATAATTATTATTTCTGGTACTGACATTGTCCGGCAAATATTTGATGAGGCTCTGCCACCCCCTCTTTTGAAAAAAGAGCTTCTTATTCACAAGAACGTGTTGGAACCCTACTACAACCATCTTTGGACAAATCACCCTTTGGGTGGAGCATGGCATCTGCTTTATCCCCCAAACAAGGAGCTACCACAGTCCAAACAGTTTGACTTATACCTCCTATTAGCTCTCATAAAACATTTGAATGTATTCCCTGCACCCAAAAAAGGCTGGAACATGGAACCACCATCTTCTGATCTCTCTAAGTCTGCCGACATCCTGAGGCTGTGCAAATACAGGGATATACTCCTTAGTGAGATTTTGATGAATGGTCTCACTGAGTCACAGTTCAATTCAATTTGGAAAAAAGTTTCAGATACTCTTCTGCGCCTTGGGATGAAGCAAGAGGACATTGACAAAGTGAAGGAGAATCCCATTGAGAATATCGCTCTTGATTACCATCAGCTGTCCATCTACCTAGGCATACCAGTACCAGAAATCATCCAGAGGATGTTATCCTGCTATCAACAAGGTACAAAACAATTATTTACTTTAGCCAGTAAACTTTCATCGAGTGTCTGCTATGTGTCAGACACAGTGTTAAGGGCAGGAGGTGTAGTGAGCTCACATTCTTGGGACAATAGACTCATCAAGAAACTAATAGAAATTATAGTGCTAGAGATGTTCCAGAATACCATGGAAAATCCTAGCCTAAGAGAATCCAAGAAAACTTCCTGGAAAATATAACATTTAAGGAATTCCTAAATCATATGTAAAAGTTAGCCAAGTGAAGAAGATGGAGAAGAATGTTTCAGAAGGAAACAAGAAAAAGGTATAGAAACAAAAATATAATGCAGGGAACTAAAAAGTTTGACCTTAAAGTAGGTTAAGTAGTGGATCGTAAAGGTATTAAAGTAGGGGAGCATTCATAGAAAATACATTCAAGAGGATTTCTTTTACCATGTTGAGGAGTTTGTATTTTCAAAAAGGAATTGTTGAACGTTTTTTAGAGGAATTTTCTCACTTCTACAAAATTAATGATGCCTAAAACCATGCAATACTGATACTGTGTGTTTCAAGGATACCATTTCAGACTCCATGAGTATATGTTTCTCTACCTTTCTAGCAGAATCTTGATGTTAAAAAATTCGACAGCTATCTAGTGGCCATGGGTAATTTTAAAAATTAGGTAACATTTATGCAAGTATCTAAAGGCAGCAGTGGCCATTCCTAGGCACTGTATTGATATGGAAAAGACCTCAGACCACCTTTCCCACATTCCAGGATAGTCTCTGAGCTGTCATCGTGGAAAGCGGAGTTCAAGGCACGTCAGCATCACTGAAACCCTTGTGCTATTCTGCTTGACTTTTCCTGATCTTGTTATTAGCCATACAATGTGGTGAGCAACTAATGACCACACTGAAGCTATTTAAACATACAACTTGCCAAGTTTCTAGTAATTGTTGAACTAGTTCTTCAGAGATGATTGCTAGGCCCCTATCCCATTTCTTTTACTAAGGCTCTGGGATACCATTATATTTTCCTGCTTAACCCTTAAGAGCTTTCTTTGAGTATAAAAGAAGAGACTGCCGAGTTTGATGGTATAAGAAAGTGAGACAATAACCGTTGACTTATAAATTACACAGTTTTTTAAAAAAAATACATTTAGTCTATTAAGATTTTAAATGACAAAAACATAAGAATATAAAGGTAATATTGAGGAAAGTGCTTTGAGCACTAAATAAATTCAAGGTTATTTCAAGCAATTCTCAGGTAGTTTGAAGAGCTTATTGAAGTCTCCTCAATAGAGGCTTTCCTAACATCTTATATCTACTTCCGAGTAGTTATTAAAGCTGCAGTTTTCATTTGTGTATCCGATTATTTGATTAATAATCCATTGTCCCTAGTAAATATTTATGGAAGTTGTCTTTTTTCTTCATTTAATCTCTAGAGCCTGATATAATATTAATGGGAAAGAAGGGAGTGCTATCAGGATCATTCATACTGCTAAAGAGGGGATGGGGGTTGGGGGGCTGGGAGAATGGAGTGAAGGGTTAAAGAGGTACAAATTAGTAGTTGATAGATGGTCACAGGGATGGGGAACATGGCATAGGGAATGCAGTTAGCATTAATGTAATGGCTAGGTGGAGAGCCAGAGGAGAGAAAGAGCAATTCGAGGGATCGTTTTATAAACTACATAAATGTCTAACCAATGTCCTGTATACTTGAAACTAATAATAAAATAAATATTTTTTTAAAAAGTCTCAAACTTCAAATGGAAGTTTACTTCATAACTGGCTATTAAATACTTTCTGACCTTAGACTTTATAAATCATGAGACTTTGTTGCTTGGTTTAAAGTGCTTATATTCTAGGCATTATCTGTTAAGAACAATCAAAATATGTTTACTTTTTTTTGTTTAATCATGGGTTTATAAACTTTATGTTATAATCCAAAGATCATGCCTATTTATACTAGATTCATGAGTGAAGCTAATTATTTTTATAGTTAATTATAAAATTACTTGGTGCAGTGTAAAAATCTTTTGGCTTTTCTTAGTCCCAGGCAGATATTTGTTGGTTGTATCTTCAGTTGCATATCTAAATGTTTTCTTTATGTATCATAGGAATTGCTCTACAGTCAATAACTGGCAGTCAACGTAAGTATGTTAAAAACCTAAGTGACCTTTCAATTTGAGATAGCAAAGGGGTCCCTATAAGAGAGTCTTACTGTATCATAAACTGCAATTGTTATGAGCTTGGAAAATCATGTTTTCAAATTATTATTAGCAGAATCTAGTATGAGCCTTTTTACTCTGCGTTGGTCTTAGTGCATGTGCCCCAGGGTTTATCTAAGCATAGTATTTTACTTTTTGATACATAGGACACTTCAACAGGCAAAAATGCCTACCTGCTTGCTCTACCTGCTCATATATGCTGCTCTGTAGCTTATGTAGCTTTTATTTGGTTATCTATCAACTGTTAAAGCTGTATACTTTTTTGCTGCATGGTGAGTTGCTAATTTAAATTTCTATTTTTGTGCTTTTTTTTAAATGTAATTCATATTGTACAATTAAAATTTACTTAAGAAAACAACACCATGGGTTTTGTTTGGAGTAAAATTATACTTAATAATACTGTGGGTTTTGTTGTACTCTTTGTGACCAGTCAGGTGAAATTCACAAATTTTGAGATTGAATCTCTAGGGCATTATCAAGGAGTATAGTGTCAAAGAGGAAGTCACGTAATAAAGGGCTGATACACTTTCAAAATCTTTGGTTATGAAAAAGAAGGAGAAAAGAACAAAAATAGACCTTCTAGCTTTCTTTTTAGATATGTTTTAGATTTATGTCCTAAAGTAATTCTACTTACAGTATTAATAGGGGTCAGTGTTAGGATGCTCAAAAACTTAGTATTTAGAGTCAACTTAATTTCTAGAATATCTAAATATATAGAGTTTACTTAAGATAACAATAAAGTATCTTAGCATTTGGGTTCATACTGATTGGTTCCAGGTTAGTATATATATCTATTATTTGGTCATTGGTAAATGATCATTTCATCTAGTAATTGAACAGAGTAAGATGTCTTCTAATTCTGTTTCTGGAATGGTGTTTGGGGAGGTAAATATATTTATAGTAGTGATAAGAGGCTAAAATTGTGTACATCAGATTTTGAGTGTTTCGTCTTTAACATATAGGTATTGAAATAGAAGAATTACAGAATGAGGAAGAAGTCCTAAGTCCACCTCTCATGGAGTACAATATAAATGTGAAGTCAAACCCTGAAATACAGTTAGCAGAAATGAATAAAGATGGGGCATCAATACCCAGTGAATCTTCAACAGAATCTATTAAAGATCTCCAGGAAGTATAAACTCTTGTTAATATTTAAATTAGAAGAACTTAATTAGAGCCTTTAGTTTGTTGCATGTACTATATTTAAAGGATCTCAGACAATTTTAGTTTTATATTTATTATAGTATTCATACAAAGTTTAAATTGGAATGGTTCTTTCCCCACTACTTCCATAATCTTTCTTGCATTAACTGTTTATTCTGCCAACATTTATTGAACATATATTATGTACCAGGCACTATGCTAGACTTTTGAACATGTTTGTTTCTTCTGATTGTTGAGAGTGTATGTGGGAGCTTAGTAGAATGTAGAAGAAAGCATAGTGGACAATAGGAGAGAGAAAGGAGAAAAAAACAGGGATATTTGCACAGAGGTAGAATTAAAATCATGACGGAATCTCTGTATTACTTTACAGATAAGTGATAACAGTTATTATATAGTCACTGAATTCTTCTTAGGCTTAATTTTTCATCTTCTGAACTTGAAAATGTTGATTTTTTAAAAGTGTTTTCTTCCTTTGTTACTTAGGCATGACTATGTGCAAATGAGGATTTGTGAGCTTTTTTCAGTGGCTAGCTCATTGATGTTATATATTGTTTCTTTATATATCAGTGATTTTTTTAAGAGCAGAAGACAGATTAAAATAAAAATGAAAAGGAAAAATTTTAATAGAGTTTAGAAAGAAAATATGATCTATAATATTAGAAGATAAAAGGTTTCAGTAGTTAGAGGAAATGTATTTTGCAAAATAACCCATTGTGCTGTTTGAATTGCGTATTAAATAAATGATTTATTTCTTACCTCTCAGGTTAAGAGTAAACCAAAGAAAAAGAAAAAGACTAAGAATAAAAAGGTAAGAGACTGTATTAGCATTATAATAGAAGAATGTCTGATTAGGAGCACTTAGGTATAATATATGGATTCAATGTTAGAACTTAAAATTAGTCCAAGTAGACGTATAGCACAGATGACTTGAAAAATGTCAGTGGTTTATTGAATGTGTGATTATAGAGAAGTCTATGTATGTTAGATCCTGAATGACTAAAACTTACAATGTGCCTACTTTACTTCTTTAAATCATAATTTACGCATTTAAATATATTGATAAAGAAATAGAATTAGTCAATTGGAAATTCCATTAATTCCTACATATCACTGTCATTTAAAAAATGCCTACTTAGTGTTTAAAAACAGCTGCTCATCATGTTTCTGCTGATATGTCCAGAAACATTTTTTTTTAAACTTTAAAACATCTTGATTTTCTTTGTGTCTAAGAGTACCAGCAAGGCAGTAATATGCAAAATGGTACAAATGCAAAACTTCTTTTATGACTCTTCCTTTTTTTTTTTTTTGCCAGTTGAAAAATGAACAAGTTACTGTCTGTAGCACATTTTTAGCAAGAAATTTATTAATTGCCTAGAAAATCACAAGAGAAAGTCAGGAGTCGTTTTGTTTTTTGACTTAATATTTTTTAATTCAGACTTTATTGTCAAGTTTAAATTAAACAGGGAATAAATACAACTGGGAAAAAATGTAAACACCATTCAAAAATTTATACCCTGATAATATTAAAATTTTCTTATTAAATGTTAGCAACTGTCAGATTTTTTTAACAGCCTAAATTTTTTCCAATTTATTTTATTAAACAAGTTGAGATACTTTGAAGATAATTTTATTAAGATAAAACATTAGACAAGATTTCTTATATCTTACATCTTTTATCTAAATTTTAAAGTATGGTACCTAAAACTGCTGAAATTTTTACATACAACCATTTAATATAGAATAGTCCTATTCATATACTTAGTTACTGTTATTTTAAGTGCAAAGAATTGTCTCCTTGTAGTGCCATAAAAAGCTAAGTCAATCCAATGCTCTAAATAGGAGTTCTCCTCACAAAAAATTCTAGCATATAGAAATTTGCTTACATTAAAGAGTGATGACAAAGCCCGTGTGCATGAAATTTGTGTCCTCTATTAATTATTTGTTTTGCACCATCTCAACCTAAAGATAGTTGAAGTCCTAAAATTACTCATATATTACCCTTCCATTAAAAATATTAATTACTCTTACTCCTACTCCCACTTCCCAGCCAAGGGAATTGAGGGTTAGAAATAAGAAAGAGAAGTAAAACAGATGGCAGAAGAACAGCAAAAAGCACTGTGATAAAGCTTAGAGATAAAAAGAAATCTGGCAGGAAGTAAATTGAGCCCTTCAAATAGGATGTCCGCTCTAAAGGAGGGAAGTTGCTGAGGTACATGTAAGAAGACATACTGACACATGCATTGACATGAAGTTGTCATGGGAGCAGCTAAAAAGGAGTTTCAGAAATACTTAACTATATTAGATATGTTCATTATGAACAACCAAAAATCTTTTAAACTTGGTTATTCAAGTACACTGGAACCAAGGCAGGAGTTCATAATTCTAAATTGTAGAATCAAACTGGCACTGGACATTAATCAGATACCAAAACACAAAAATCCTTGTAGTATACAGACAATAAGGCAAAATAAATTTGTACGTACATCATGGAATCTGTGGGAAAGGAGACCCTGAAGTTTCTTGTAAACAAGAGGTGGTAATAGGAATTAATACTGTAACGTATACGAGAGTAATTAATACTCTTAATGGTAAAGTAATATATGAGTAATTAATATTCTTAATATGTGTTAAGTGTCATCAATATTACCTTTAGTATGTTCCCTTTATAACTTTATTTTAATGAACATAAAATTTAAAGCTTTTTAACATTTCCTTTGAATCATGACTTCCATAACATTTCTTTTTAATAAGATTTTTAATATATAAATTTGCTCTCTTCTTACACATAGATTTCTAAGAACTCTCATACTTAGTATAGCATTCCAAAAATGAAAATTCTATGTAACCTGTCCCAAGATACACCAGTAGGTACAAACTTAGCGCCAATACCCACTTCCAATATCTGAATCAATGATTTTTAAGTTGTGTTTCATTATTCAGTAGTAGATTACAAAATCAGTTTAGTGGGTCACAACCACCATTTATAAAGAAGGCAATAGAATTAGTAGGAATAAAAAAATTTCCAGAGTTCATCACCCATTGTCTTATAGTCAGTTTGGACTGCTATAACAAACTGTGATAGACTGGGTGGCTTAAACAACAAACATTTATTTTTCACAGTTCTGGAGGCTGGAAATTCCAAGATCAAGGTGCCAGCAGATTCGGTGTCTGGTGAGGGCCCTCTTCTTAGTTTGCAGACGGCTACCTTCTTGCTTTATCATCACACGGCAGAGAGAGAAAGAGAGAGCTGGCTCTCTGCTCTCTTCATATAAGGGTGCTAATTCCATTATGAGGACTCCACATCATCTAAACCTAATTACCTCCTAGTGGTCCTGTCCCCAGTTACCATGACTTTGGGGGTTAGGGTTCAATGTATGAATTTGGAGGGAGGGCCATGAATATGCAGTCCATAACACACATAATATGGGTGAGGTTGATTTTATGGAACTTATATTTTAGCTTTATACTTATGTATAAAGATACATATATAAGTACATTTACATCATGTTGTAAAATGTATTTCTTATGGTTGTGGTCAGAAAAGTGTGAGAAACACTGACCTAAATGTAGTCAGATCACTGTGCTGTATTGACATAGTTGATATAGATTACTAATTCTTGATGCTGTTTTTCAGAATAAGGAATCAAAAGAAGAGCAAGCGTAAGTATTTATTTAATTTTTAAATTTTTCTTAGTGCTTTCAAAGTGTGCTTTGCCAGTATGATACAGACTTGCCTTGGGGAGTGTTCTTATTTAGAGAAGAAAGGACACTTCTTTATTTTAATAAGTTGTCACCTTTTCACAGAAGGTGAGAAAAAGTTAAATTATTATTTATATTGGTAGAATAGAATCTCTCGCCATTTTTCTATAAGGCTACTCAAGAATCATCCAATGTGACTACTTTGTTTGAGGACTAATTTGGATCCAGCATAAAATCTTTTAAATATAGTCTAGATTGCAGTTAGCTAAATCTAGATAGACTAAATAAGACTTAATCTTAAAGGACAGATTATTGTTTGTCCCAGTGACCTGTTTTACAAAAGAGTTTGTTTTGGTTTGTTTTGATTTGTTTTATTTTGTTTAATTAACCTGAGAGGTTTGTTTGTTTGTTTTTTAATTCCAGTTTTTAACAATGAATTTTGAATCTTCAGTGGAAACTTTTAAAGTCTAAAAGATCATTGTGAGTTATATAGCCATTAGATTGATGAGAGTGTAATAGAAGAAGAAAGTAGGGGAGGCAGTCCAATGAAGAGATCATTATACACACCATAAAGTTTGTTAACTGAAATTAGTACTTTTATAGAACTCACTTTGAGGACATAAATTAATGTATCTTTAAAATGGTAACAAGAACATAATTTGTTAACTTTAAAGCCATCACTTATAGTTGAAGCTTTCTTATTGGTAGTAGATATGATCCATTGTAAGTAAATAGTTCATCATAAAAGCTGGGGTTTTACTTTCTCTGTCAACAGGTTAACCACTAGAGCAATCATTTGTTTGTTTGATTGTTTTGTTTTATTTTCAGACTGTGTCTAAATGCCACAAAAATAACTAACTAAAAAATGAAATAATGTCATCAATCATTTTGCTCATTTTGGCCTAAAATGTAAATGCAAACCTGTATGACCATCAAATCACTCAGGGAGCTTTATCTGTAATGAGAATTTTCAAATATAAACAAAAGCAAAGAAAATAATGTATCACATAAGTATACATACCTGTCATTCTGATTCAATAATTACCACTATTTTTCTACATTTGCTTAATTCTTTAACATTTTTTTCTTTATTAAAGTGTTATCAATCCAGATATTATGTCATTTTACCTCTACGTGTTTCAGTTTGCATCTCTTAGTAATTTGAACATTTTTCGATATTATCACAATGCTATTATCATACTTTAAAAATTTAGGAATAATCTTCTGGAGCTTTTCAAAAATACAGATTTATCTATATTTTTACAGTTATTGAGATGCCTGGAAAATGTAACTTTTTAAAAGATCTTCAGTTAATTTTTAAAATTAATTTTGTTTGGGAACCAGTGGTATACATAGCATTTGATTTTATTGAATTTTCCAAGATGTTTGTCATTCTAGGATACCTCAATGATACCTAATGACTGTTTTATAATATTTAACAAGTTATTCTACAAGCATTAGATATCAATTTTTCTAGGCCTTCGTGGCCTAAAAGAAATAATCATGCATCCTAAAATTACCTTTTCTCTTTCTATTCACTAATAAAATCAAGTCATTTACATTATAAGTAAAAGTGTTATTTATTGTTATCACTCAATGAGATTTAGATGGAAATTCATAGTTACAAAATAATAGACCAATTGAAAGGATAGTAACATGCATTTACATTGTATACAGTCATAAAAATGAGTTAATTGCCATTGTGTGTGTAGTATTTTCATTCTTCTTGTAGTTGTTCCTAGTTATTGAATTACATATTATCACTACAGTTTTTTAAAGGTTCTGTTAACAAAAGAAACCTTCATTTCTAAATCGACTTTGTTGCTGTTTGCAGCCCTCTATTTAAATGTACACTGAACCTAAGTGCTTAAGTTGATTAAACCAACCTACTGTCAAGAATGTTGTGATAAAGTAATATAGCTGCTAGCAGATGTGGAAATGTTTGTCAATATTTCCCAAAGTAATTGATGTTAATAGTTAAAATCTGAAAAATGAACTTCACGGTCTCATAATTCTTGAAAATCCTGGAATGAACAGAAAGATACTTCGATTGAGTGCTATCTCAAATATGCTAAATTTCATTCTGAATCTTAAAGAAAAATATATAGTATGAGCACTGTCTAAACTTGCCTTGACCATGAACCCTTCTGATGCTGAGTATCTCATGAGACCAGTGCAATATTAATTTGGGAAACAATGGCTTATATGAAAAGCTCTATACAGCTATAAAAGATCACATTGATTATGTCACCACTATAGCCCAAATATGGTAGAAAAGGAAGAACAATTGAAGGAAGAGCCAGCAAATCTACACTCAGTCAGTAGATTTATGAAAGATGATGCAAGTGATGTTCAAGAAGATTCTTCAACTGAAGACAAGTTCTATAGTCTGGATGAACTGCATATTCTGGACATGATAGAGCAGGTAAGCCTGATTGGAGAGGTACAGCCCAGGCCTTCCTTCTTTCAGAAATAATTGTTAACCTTTGTTTTCCCCATGACTCTTTGAACAGCATGTTAGCTAGTGGTTTATGCTGCGCCTTTAAGGAGAAAGAAAAAACAGGAAGGGTAGTACAGAAGGATAAATGAGGGAAAAAGAGCTTTAGGAGCTTGGAACTTTTCACTTTAGCCCTCAACAGTTTCCCGGCTTTAGTTATTGGGCAGAGTTGATTACAAATGTATTCCTTGTAGAGGACTTTAAATACCTTGGGGTAGGAGGGCATGCTGAACTGGCATAATCTCATTGAATTAAATTTCATGAGAAAAAGTTTTGTAAAACAAAGCTATTTTCATTGTGTGTGTGTGTTTTTTTTAATTAAACTTGGTTGTTACCATGAAACTTCTACAAAAAATATCAGTGTACAAGTTTTTCTCTTTGGTTCCTTTCCTGGTAGCAGTCACTGCTGGGAAGGATATACCTATTTGTAAGGTACATAGGAACGTGATTTAAGTACTCTACAGAGCATTTAATCAGACAAAGCATATGAAAGATTTCTTTTTGAAAAACCACTTGATTTACCTACTCATGAGAATTCTTATACTAAGATAATTTTGTGATAACCTGTTCTATGGTTTAAATATAATGATATATAGTATGTAGGATTATTTATTGTCTCGGGGTACAGCTAGCACAAATAATTTCCTGGCTAAAAGTACAACATTCATATAATTGTCATAACTCCTTTTTCTCCTTTTCATTTATAATATTAGAATGTGTATATTTTAACTGAAATGACATTTTCTAAGCTTTGGATATTACAGTAAAATTAAAAGTAGGGCCTTTGGTTATTCAGTAGTCATGAGAACTATGAGAACTTGAAAATAGAATAAAAATGTCATACACTTTTCGAAAAATGCTTATTCATTAATTCAAAAAAAAAAATTAGCAAGCACCAGCTTTGTGTCAAGAGCTATGCTATGGCACAGTCCCTGTAATCAGAGTGTTTATATTACAGTGCAGAAGTTGAATATTAAACCAAGGTGATGCCATGTAATAATATTAAGTTCTTGGGCAATTAAGACTGCCTGAGTTAGAATTCATGCTCCTCTACTCAGTGTTTGTATGACCTCGGGCAAGTACTCAGTTTTATTATCTCTAAAATGGGAATAATGAGTGCTTACCTCATATGATTTTTCTAATAGTAAAAGCTTTAAAGCTTTAAAATGGTAAGCATGCAGGTAATATTATCCTTTAGTAGCCTTAGTAGACAAATAACTGATAATTTTAGTGAATGCTGTAATTAGGGAGAGGTTGGGTTTATCTAAACTAATAAGTGATATTTGCATCAAGACCTACAAAGCGTAAATAGAAGATAGACAGCAACTTTAAATCCTCTTTAAATAACTAAAATATTAGTGTTTTTAAAGAGGAAAATAAAGCATGCATATTCTATTTGCTTAATAGGGCTCAACCAACAAGGTAACTACAGAATATGGAGAAACTGAGAAGGAAAAGCTTGCTCGACAGCAGCAGCTTTATAAATTGCACTATCAGTGTGAAGTGAGTACTTTTGCCATTAGATCAAATGTTAAACTTAATGGCATTTTTTTCCTTAAAGAAACCAATTTTTTTCTTTCAACTTCTGGTGACTTGAACAGAATTAACTGAAATAATATTTTTCATTGAGCAGGATTTCAAAAGACAATTGAAAACAGTGACTTTTCGATGGCAAGAAAACCAAATGCAGATTAAAAAGAGAGACAAAATCATCACATCTCTTAACCAACAAGTGGCTTTTGGAATCAATAAAGTTTCCAAGTAAGTACAAATCTGTTGATAACAGGAAATTCTGGGTTTACTCAATTATGAATACTCTTTAAAAGATAATCCCTGTGTAGCCACTAGGTGGCATTGTGACTGCACATTAGGAACTGCCAACCCAGGACTGTACTTGCTTGAAAACCAACTCCATATTTGCCTTGCCAGCTGAATTGAGAAATAAGCAACTGCTCACTCTATATAAAGCTTTTTATGTATTAGTTGGACAAGTGTGACAATAATAGAATTACAAGAGAAAGATAATTAACTTTCAGATCACGACTCTAATTTGTAAAAATGTGACCCATAATTAGCTGTTTCTTTATAGTGTTATGATGAATATATTCCTCAAAGACACCAAGGAATCACTTGCATGCTTTTTTATATTGATCTCTCAGTGTGTTTATGTTCTAAGCCCAAGAGATTGAAAATAAATCAAATTCCTGGAGACTCTTCTCACCCCTGCCAATTTCATTTCTCTTACAACCTTAAGTATTAAGTGCCTAAGACTAAAACTGCTGACTTAATAGGGAAGAATGAGTGTCCTGCTTTATTTTTTTTCCTACTAATCACTGCTTCCAACAAATACCAGTTGAAATAGTAATATATAATTTGTAACATTATTTTAATGAACAGTTATACCACAAGATGCCAGTCATCCATGAAGTCTAATTTGAAATCCTTTGCAGTTCGTACACTGCTAATAGGGAGAATAGACAAGTTCTAGGAAATATCTTTGAGTAAAGAGTCAAAAAAACTAGTTAAAATCAGAGAAATATTTGGCAAAGATTCGGGTCTTAAATTTTCTCCCACATATCATATCATCCAACTTGAAGGGATTTTTAGGAAGAACTGAATGCCATAGCTCTGAAAACATATCAGTTGCAAACACTTTCAGGCTTGTCCCTGCTAGACTTAGAGAGATCCTTTAAGTTCAGAAGGAAGTGAGGACCTAAGATAGTTTGGGCAAACTAAGCTGCAATCACTTAAAAAGGTTTCAAAACTTTATTACTTAGCCTGGAAGGTAATAAACAACCCAGAAACATGTTAATAACATCAGAGATCTGAAAAGTAATGCCATCCATGCAGATGAGCTTCCTCTCTCCTTCACTACCTGAGGATACCCCACCTCAACTCCGGTAGCTGACCCAGGCACCCTTGTATGCTGCGACTACGAACCAACCACTTTAGGGGATGCATACTTCATCCCACAATGAACACTCAGTGTTGAATGAACATTCACCAAACATTTGGTAAGTACTCACTGTGAGAAAAGAATTATGTAAGGCACATATAGAAGACACCAAGATGTGTTAGATATTGACTGAGTTAATGGAGCACATACAGAGGGACTTCCAGTTACACCAAGATATACTAGCTCCATTACTTAAAGTCCTTATTACAACAAAAGCACCCCGGACCTAACACAACAAACAAACATAGGAAGACTCTGAAAAGTGAAAACTACATCAAAATTTGTGGGACACAACTAAAGCAGTTCTGAGAAGAACTAAAGCAGTTCTGAGAATAACTAAGTCTCAGATGAATAACATATGCCCCCATCTCAAGAACACAGAAAAAGAAAAGCAAAATAACCCGAAAAAAGCAAAAGGAAATAATGAAGATTAGAAATAATGAAATTGGAAACAGAAAAACAATAGAGAAAAATTCATAAAACAAAGTTATTTCTTTGAAAAGATCAATAAAATTGACAAACTTCTAGCAAAACTGACAAAAAGACGATACGAACATCACTATCAGGAATGAATTAGACATTGGAGAATTAGAGACATTAGAGAATTATGCTGAGTGAATAAAAGCAATCCCTAAAGCTTATATACTGTATGATTTCATTTACCATTCTTGAAATGACAAAATTTCAAAAATGACAATGATAAATATGGAAAACAGGTTAGTGGTCCTAAGATTATGAGAAAGAGATGAGAGTGGGAGGCAAGTGGGCATGGCTATAAAAGGGCAAAATGAGGGCTCCTCTGGTGATAAAACTGTACAGTATCTTGAACTGTATCACTGTCAACATCCTGGTTATTATACTACTGTTTTGCAGGATGCTGCCATTTGGGGGAAGATGGGTAAAGGGTACATGGAATCTGTCTAGTCTATATCATTTTTTACACCTGCATGTGAATCTATGATTAGCTCAAAAAGTTTTTTTATTTTTTAAAGCACATAACTGTCAAATGCATTTTGTGGAGTAAAAAGAGTACTATTGATTGTTGTGATTAGGAAGAACTCAATGAAGACATAGGATTGAACATTAGCTAGGTGGGATGAGATGGGAGAAAAGACAGAAGGCATCTAGGCAGAGAAAAAAGCATGAGCACTGTGTGTATTCTTGTGTACGCTTTTGAGTATTTCTTTGTTTCGCTCACTTGATCATGTCCCAGGAGTATATGATAAAAATATACATATTCTTTAATTGTAAAATGTTCATCTCTTTCATCTTAGAATATGGTGTTTAATAGGAAGCAAAAACAAAACCACACCTTTTTTCCTTTGGCCTAATTCAGTGCTAATTCTACAGTAAATATTTAGTAAACATTAGTTGATGATTGCAGTTTTAACAAAGAAGGTTTATATAAAGGTGACATATTTTGTACAAATTACAATAAACACGTAATAAATTTTAAGAAACTGCTGTCAATAAAAGCTTTATAATAAACTTAATAGCCAGCCAGAGTAAGCTTGAGAACTTAAATCTTTTAGAAAAGAAAATCTAATCCTACCCTATCATGTTATTCACAAGACAAATAAGACTGATAAATTAGGACTGCCTGAACATATATAGCTGTTTTGTATCTAAGCTGGATGATAGGAACTATGCTTGCCTTATCTTCTTTTATTTGAGAATATAGGTCTTCTGAATTCCCCACCAGCTCTGTCAACTCTTATCACCCACTGTAAACTTTAGCTGGGTAAAATATTGAAGTAATAGAAGTATACAAAGGAAGATGTCAGTCTTAGAAATCTTACCACTTTTCAGTTCTCTCTACATACTCCTGTATACTACAATAACAAAGCTTCTATTTCTTATTATTTACTTAAGAACGTGATCTCTTTTCGTATAGAAAGAGACTTGGTTTCTTTCATTGCATTTTCAGTCCAACAAAACAAGATTTTAAGTCTACAGCTTCTATGAAGCTTGGAGTAAAGGTGAATGGGCGGTCTCTAGTCGTTAAAACAATGACTTTAAGTATTGGCTTTTCCCATTCCAATAACTTATATTAACTAAAACTCCTGTGTATTTCAAGTGTCTGAACATGTTAGAAACTTAAAGAGAAATGTTTTCTTTTGCTTACCAAAGCAGATTAACAGGGTAACATACAAGTTTGGTTGTGAAGAGAAATACAGCAGCACAAGGGAGGAACATCAAAAATGGTATATGAATATATGTTAACCAAAAAGTATTACTTTGCAATTTTCTGAATAGCTTCTTACATATTAGTTTTTAAGCTAATCGCAGGTTATATTTTCTGATTTATACAACATTTTTACCCAGTCTTCTCATGATTAGGTCATGTAGTGACTCCCCAGTTTTAATTTATAGTTTTCATTATATTTCTTATTTGCACACAGTCTCCTTCTATATTTAAGGTCTCATTTCTTTCAGGCCCTAAGTTTTTAATAGTTTGGATGACTTGGTATAATACCTCTTTAAGAAACTTAAAGTTCTCAATCCTACCAAAGGCCTAGAACATCAGAAGGTACCATCTGTTTTCTAGTGGGTAAACTAAAGTACAAAGAGCTGAAGACATTTTCCTGAGTCATTGAACTAGGAATACAAGATAAGTCTTCTCTTTGGCTTTATAATTTATAGTTTAGTTAATATGAAGGGGTTAGAACTTAGTTTTTTCTTTTGGAAGTCAATAAATTAGACATCAGAAATAAGATAATTTTCAGAATGGCTAGGTATTAGAGTACAGTTATTTTCAGTCTCAAAATTTGTAGCCCAAAATAGACATAACTTAATCCCCCCTCATCTATATCTGTTCTGACTATGTTAATGACCTTATTATGACTTTCTTCTTTGCTTAGATTACAGCGTCAGAGCCATGCTAAAGATAATGAAATCAAGAATCTTAAAGAGCAACTTTCCATGAAAAGGTACAAACAGCTATTGCTTTGGTTGAGGACACCCTCTCCGAAACTACTACACTCAGCATATTCTGACAGAGTAGCAGTATAATTTTTTATACAGATTGGGGCACTTTGAACCTGAAATTGAGCAGTATTAATAATTACACTAGGATAATGGGTATAAACTACAAGTGTCATAGGCAAATGGAAGGTATGTTCACCTTAGCTCTGGCCCTAGAAAACTGCTGAGAGCAGTTTTCAATGAGCCAAATTATAATTCCGCAATACACCACTGTCAGGAACTAGAGCTTAAAGAGTTCTTATCTCTTTACCCTAATCAGTACTAGTAGGTGTGACTGCTTTATGAAACTAGCTGTTTTCTTCTCATTCATAGCTTTACCCGTAGGTAATTTTTTTCTAACAGTTTTTTTGAGATCTAATTCATATAGCATAAAATTTACCCTGTTAGAGTGTACAATTCATTGATTTTCAGTATATTCCCAGAGGTGTGCAACGATTACCAATATCTAATTCCAGCACAGTTTTATCACCCAAAAAAGAAACCCTGATTCATTAAAAGTTATTACTTATTCTCCCTTCCCCAAGCTCTGGCAACCACTAATCTATTTTTTGTCTCTGTAGATTTGCCTATACTAGGCATTTCATATAAATAGAATCATATAATGTGAGAGGCTTTTTGTGATTAATTTCTTTCACTTAACATAATGTTTTCAAGGTTCATCTATGTTGTAGTATATGTCTGTATTCATTCCATTTTGTAGATAAATAATACTTCATTGTATTGGATATACATTGTATGGATATAACACATTTTGTTTTTTCATCAGTTATGGACATTTGGTTTGTTTTCATTTTTGGCTCTTGTGAATAATGCTATTAGAATATTTGTATACATATTTTTGTGCAGACATATATTTTTAATTCTTTTGGTTATATACCTAAGAATGAGACATGCAATAAACCCTGTGTTTAACTTTTTGAGGAATTGCCAAACTGTTTCCCAAGTCACTGCACCATTTCACAGTCCCACCAATAATGGATGAGAGTTCTGATTTCTCCACATCCTTACCAGCACTACTTAGGTTGTCTGTATTTATTTTACCCATTGTAGTGGATGTGAAGTTGCATATCATTATGGTTTTCATTTGCATTTTACTAATGATTAATATGTAGAGCTTGTATATCTACTTGGAGAAATGTCTGTTCACATCCTTTGGTCATTTTTTAAATTGGGTTGTTTGTCTTTTTACTTGTTTACAAGTTTTAATTGTTCTTTGTATTTTCTGGATACAGGTCCCTTACCAGATATTTGTAAATATTTTATCCCATTCTGTGGGTTGTCTTTTCACTTTCTTGATGATGTCCTTTGAAGTACAAAAGTTTTTAATTTGATGAAGTCCAGTTTATTTATTTTCTTCTCTTGTTCTAATAGGCAAATTTTGTACAATATTCTATGGACAGTATTTCTCATGGTTAACATATCTCCTTGAATATTTTTTTATTTTTCCCTCAAAATACTCTCGCCTTAATGGTATTAACAACATATTGTTTTATCAAGTTTCTCATCAATGTTTGTCAGATACTCAAGTATACAGATGTTTCTAATAAAACATTGAGGACAGCTTTTGTGAATGTTCCCTGTCACAGTGTTGTATTTCTAATTAATCATTTCCATTAAAGACATAATTTGGTTTGTATGCTCTAGAGTTCTGGGGCTCAAGCTGAAATGAGATAAGAAAAAGAGAAACCTCACAGGTAGCCATTTTCCATAATGTCCTTCATAAATAATGTTCTATCATCATCTCCCTCCCTCTCAAGCTATAGAATTTTTTTTCATTCTAAGGCGTTGAATATAAGCACTGACTAAACAGTAAAATATTTTAATGCAGTGACTTAGCTTTATGACAGGAATAACAAAAACCTTTGTAGTTGCTATTGTTGGAATATAAAAAGGCTTGTAGAAACTTTATGTAAAATTTATTAATAATGATAATAGCTAACATTTATTTTGTACTTAATATGTGTCAAACACAAACTGCTTTATGTTTATATTTGAATTTTCACAACAACTCTTTGAGGTAATATAGTTTTCTCCATTTTTACATGTGAGGAAACTGAGATACAAAGAAGTTGCCCAAGGTTTCACATTTAATGAGTTGCAGAACTCGGATTCATCCTCAGACAACTTGATTTCAGAGCCAAGTTTTAAATAATTACCTCTATATGGACAGCTTTAAAATTTTTATGCTCTTGATAGTAAAAGATAACAGTTAGGCTTAAGTAATGTCTTCTTTCGATTTTATATGCTGTATACTTTTCAAGAAATTATTAACTACTCACTGAATGGCTTGTATCTTTTTTCCTTCTGAATAAGGTAGAAAAGTCTGTCCTTGCTGCAATGTTACTGACTCTTTAATGACCATATATTTCAGATCTCAGTGGGAAATGGAGAAACATAACCTGGAAAGCACAATTAAAACATACTTAACCAAACTGAATGCAGAAACTAGCAGAGCTTTAACAGCTGAGGTAAAAAATAAAAATAAAAAAAAAATGAGAGCGAGAGTGAGAGAGAGGTATGAAGAGAGAGAGAAAGAGATGGGGGTCAGGGAGGGAAGTTTTACTTGTGTACTAGTATAGTAAAGAATTGTAAAAATAATTGCTTTTTAAATAAAGAGAAATAAGACATCTTAGGACCAGCCAGAAAAACTCAGCTCCAACCCTTGTGCTTTTTTGACTCACATTTTTTACATGATTACTTTACTATTGATTATCTTATGTTATTTTTCCCCAAATGACTCCAAGGAATTAGTCTGTTTCAGTATACATAGCAAATGAAGACATCTTGGAAAAATTCTCATGAAGCCAGGTCACTAAGGCAAACTTTGAAGAATAACATTTCACTGCTGCCATATCTCCCTTTTTTGCTACTCCCTACATGGATCTTCCAAAAGCACATATACATTATACATCCAGTGTCAAAAACCAACTTATTTTCTGGACCCAGAAAGTCACACAGTTTTTTCTAAGTGAGCCTAGAAACCTACAGCTAGGGTCTCTCAAAAGAAATACGATTGTATGTGTGTATGTATGTAATTTTTGTTTGTAGATTATGTTGATACATATTAAGATTCAAGTTTTTAGAGACTTCTTTGACATTAAAACCATTACAAATCTTCCCACCTCTGCCATAATAAGTTCTGTTCTTTAGTAGAGTACTCAGAAATCTAGAGGTCAACAATCAGAAAGTAGTATCTGAACCCAAATTCTCTGGGGAATAAAGTATTGGAGTGCTAACTTTAACTGAAAGAAAAGAAAAAACTCGAATTACCTTAAGAGCTCAAGTTTATATTCTTTGTTTTTCACTGCTTTTAGTCAGTATGTTCTGAATATTTTCTTACCCTTTTATCAGTCAGAAAACAAAAAAAATAGCAGGACTTCTTTCAAGTGTTCTTACCTTAATACCCAGGCTACATCTAGTATCAATTAAATTAGAATCTCTGGGACCAAAGCATCAGTTTTTAGTTTCTGAGATGGCTCCAATGTGTGTGCAAGTTTGAAAACTAAGTTTCTAGAATGTTTACCAACCCAGTAACCATTGAATTAAAAAAATGAAAATTGCAGAATTGATCAGAAAGCTTTTATAATGCATTGTGGATGGTCGAGAAGCTCAGGTGCTGTTGAAAGAGATCGAAAAATAGCTTAAAATTTACTTGAAATGATTGAGAAAAGAATGTGTTCATTTGCAAGGCTACCTTCACCTTCTTTCTCTTTTTCAAAAACCTGTAGGTATATTTCTTACAGTGTCGTAGAGATTTTGGTTTGCTTCATCTAGAGCAGACTGAAAAGGAATGCCTCAGTCAGCTTGCCAGAGTCACTCAGATGGCGGCAAGGTAAACTTTTCCCTCTTCCTTAATGCATCTTGATCTCAGAGATACAAGTGGCTCCAAGGTTGAACATAATCTGTAATGTGTTTTACATATATGATGTCAGAGTCTTTGGAGTGAAGAAACCATTGTGTTTTTAAACCTCAAAAGTCATCTAGTCACTTCGATACTTTTACTTGTTGCTTCTGTTGAAGCATTGAGAATTCTGCTGAATGCAAGAATAGCTGCTGACAGGTTTTTTTCCCCCTCTTCCACAGTGAAATAGATTAAAAAAAAAAAAAAATCAGTCAGAGACATGTATGAAGACCAGATATTTACAAATCAAGGTGAAGTCTAAGTGGAAAACTTGTTTTTAATTGTTTTCTCTTCTAATGCTTGATTATAAATACCTTTGTAGTACATTGGTGGGAAAATTAGTATTAGCACCTAAAATCATATGTTAAAGTTAATTTCCTGCTGTGCTCTGAGTGATTTTCAAATTTTGGGCAGGTTGCATGAGATTCTCTTTAAATTTATAATTTTATGGAGTATACCTTCAAACTTAAAGAATTAATTAAATTAGAATCTCTGGGCCAAGGCATCATTATTTTTTTAAGTTATTTCAATGATCATCATTCTTCATTTCTGAAGAATCAGAATATCTGAAGTTTAGCAAGATTCTCAGAATATACTGATGTGCATTCTGGTTGATGAAGCACTGTTCTAAGTCATCAGTCTGTCTTTGCTTGTTAGAGAGAGAAAGAACACTCTGTAAATTAGAATATTTAGCCTCTTTATATAAGATTAAAACTGTTGTACTGGGTGATACTGGGGTGGGGATGTTATAACTTTTGAAAGGCTTTGAAATCTCTTCTAGAGAGGACAGACCCTAACTATCTCAAAGCCTTTCCTACTTAAGTCATTTGGTGGGCATGTTAATTCCTGTTAAGTCATTTGGCTGCTGTAGTTGTGCAATTTATGTATGTCATAGAGGCAACAATCTAATTCATTCTTTCAGAAAAGGTATTTCTTTCTGATTTGCCCTCGCATAGGGAATATCTTTTACTAATTTGCAGAAGAGCTTGATAGGCCAACTGTGACCTTGCGACGTCAGGGTAAAGATAGTCTAAATCCTGCTTCTAAGATGAGTCAACATCTTTAAGAATGCTCCTGCATTGGATGGCTAGGGCAATTTCCCTTTTGGCTTTCTCTCCCTTCCTACTTCAGTGGAGGGATTCCTGTGCCAAAGTTTTATAGTACGTCCTAAAAATATATCACCAAAATAGAAAAAAACTTGGTGTTCTGAACCAGAAGTTATATTTGCCCTTGAAAAAAGAAATCTTAAATTCCTAGTTCTTGTTTTTATTTTTAATAACAAGCCCTTCCATACAACTTTGTGCCCATTTGAGGTAAGTGGTGGTGATGAGGTAATTTTGTTGTTTTTCATTATTTACATATACACTAGAGAACATAATGGAAAATTTTGGAAACCTAAGAGGTATATAAAAAGAAAGAACTTTCTCTCGTGTCTCCTTGTCTCTATCAGCAACCTGGAATCACTTCAATTAAAGGCTGCAGTAGACAGTTGGAATACCATTGTGACAGATGTCAGAAACAAGATTGCATTTCTCAGGGTAAGTTGTGAAGTGTATTTAGAGTGAATTGACTCAATATTGTAGATGTTATATACTTAAAGAAAACATTTATCGTTAAAAAAATTGCTGGAGAAATTTAAAGAAGAACATGTTTTTTCATTTTTGTTATTAAAGTTTATGCCTTTTTGAAGTTTGAGATTGATTACTTCCACGTAGTTGGTTGTCAATAGCATTTTATATTCATACATATGATCTTTAGGTCCTTTTAACAGTAAATGATAAACTAAAATATTGTGCCTCAGACTTAATTTTCCTAGAATTCCAAAGCTAACTGCTCCAATCAGAAATAAATGTCTAACTTGGTTTGATTAATTGTGTGTTTACAGAATTAAAAGATCAAGCAGACTTGTATTAGTTTTGTCTTAACTTTTTACGTAATAATTCCATAATGCAAAATAATAAATTCTTAATTATTGGTTTAATAGAATTAGGACTATGCTAAAGGTAATCTAAAGAGGTAACCCACTGAGTATTTATTATTCATTTGGTTTTATAATATTTTTACATTTATATCTTAAAGTTGATATATAATGTTGATTGTGTTGTGGTTTCACAACACAGTGACATTCAATTGTGAAAAGCTGCCCCAAAGCATTAACTAGCTTTTTCATTGATGATCTTGACTGTTCCTCTCCTGGATTCTTTCTTACTCGGTCTTTAGGGGTGCTTAGCATTTCTCTTGGGTTTATTCAGAGTTCTGGCTTCAAAAGAGCTGCCCCTTGTTCTGTATTCTTGTTTTCTTTCAAGCATATGTCTTCTGTGTAGAAGTTTCTAAATATTTGCTTTTTAAGGCTTTTTTTTCCCGCTCTTATGGGTTGTTTACAAAATAATATGATAAAGCAAAATGTGCACAATGTCAAAAAATGTTAAAAGCATGCCGTTAAGCTTCCGGGATTGGAGTCTTTCTTTTGGTAGAATCCAAGAGAATAAAGCAAAGGTATATGTGGACCTGGAGAAAGTTAGAGATATAACTTTTGAGATAAACAAAATGTAAATATTTAACAAATATTCTCTAAAATGTCCCCTCTACTTTTTAAAATTAACATTTGCAAGTAGTTCTGCTCTGTTACAAATACTGTTTTCCTCATATTTATAGCTTCTTGAATCGTTAGACTCTATTCATTTTATATTAGTGGTTCCCATTTTGGGGCTGAAAATTATGGAACCACAAGGGAATTAACACAAGTATCTGTGAATTATATGTCTTTGTATCTGGTCAGTCAATAGAGACTTCTAAAAATACAACTATTTACAATTAGGGATAGTATTCTATAGAACTGTTTTCATGTCAAAAATTGTTTGTTTGTTTTTTATTTCGGACATACTGACAGAATTCTTGTTCTGTGCTATTGTATTCAAAACTACATCAAGTATTTTTATATGCTATTTCTTTGAAGTTGATTTTGCTTTAAAATATTGTTTCTTTTTCTACTAGACACAGTACAATGAACAAATTAACAAGGTAAAGCAAGGGTTTGCCTTGAGTACCTTGCCTCCAATCCAGCTTCCTCCACCACCACCTAGTCCTGAGATACTGGTAAGAAATATGACATTTTGGAAAATTGCTATCTTCATCTTGAGAAAATGATAAGAGCTGTGAAACACTGAATATGCAATATCTTTAAAGTGTGTTCAAAATGGAATAGGCGCATGATGTGCATATCATTTGTAATCATTTCCATTCCTGCTCTGTCAGCTCCAGATAATAAATAGTTGGCTGGCTTAACTGAGGCCACTTTCATAGGTTGTGTCACTGGATTTAAGTGATGCATTTAATATCTAAACAGGTAGTGTATTCTTATCCTGGCATTCTCATCTGCATCATGGAAGAAAATTGATGAATGCTCAGAATTCCCGATACCCTCAAGTTACCCCTAGATGACTGAAACACTTCAGCATAATCCCTAGCAGGCTGAACTTCACCCCACCATTTGTACTTTAGATTTTCTTTTTTTTAAATTATATCTTCTATTCTACCTTTAACAGCAGGAGGCTTCCTTTTATGCCCCTTCTCTACTTGTTGTTAGGGATCAGTGAGTCTTAATCAGATAAACTAGTATCTATGCTGAACTATTTATGTTATCTTTTTGGGAAACATAGTATCTTAACCCAGTAAACTCATACAGCTTTCCAAAATACCTTTTAGGACAAAACTATTAGGAAATAATTTTTTACTATTATAACGGATCTGGGAGTAGGAAAAGAAGAAAGGTGTGAAATATTTGGGGGCAGATCACTTTTGACATCAGTACTTCTGCTTGTAGGAGAACTTTAAAAATGTTATTCCTAAGTCTACGTCCACGGGCTACCCTGAATAAGCCCGATCCCATCTGATCTCGGAAGCTAAGCAGGGTCGGGCCTGGTTAGCACTTGGATGGGAGACCACCTAAGAAGACCAGGTGCTGTAGGCATAAAAAATAAGGGAATGTAAGTTGACAAAGTCCGTGCAATCTGTGAGGTCAACCAAGGGTTGCCTCGCCTAAAAAATTTTTAAAAATAAAATAATTAAAAAAAAAAAATTTAGAAAAATTTAAAAAATGTTATTTCTACAAATAGTTGAGTATATCAAAGAACTTAAAAATTATGTAAATTGTATGGTGTTCACTGTGTTTCAAAAGCAGAATCCAGAGCTAAAAGCATTATATGACGTAAACTCTAGGCTTTAGTTTGGAATGACAGTATTGCCTTTTATATTTTTGGTCAATTCACTTTTTATAGGAATACTGTATTATGGACATTATTATTCTATTGCTAGAGTATAGAATGCTATTCTATATTATGGAACACCATCATACCTAACTACTCTGATAAAGAATGTATTATGTACATGACAGAGAAATCCCAAAGATTCCCTGTAGTTCTACAGGAAGTCACAAATATTCTGGTAGGAGATCTAGAAACCCTGCACCTTCTGCCCATATTCAAACTACTGCCTATATGTTGTAGTTAAACTCTCCTCTGACTCTAAATACAAAATGGCTCTAGAAACTCAGAAGCTAGATATAGAGTTGTTCTTTGGAGTTTCCTGGAACCAGACTGGCATAAGTTGTCTGATACTAGTGATACTCTGTAGTTGACAAATGTAAGCAAAGCTCGACTTCTGCATCCTCATTCCTTTAGAGACTGTTTTAGCTCTGATGTAGCTACCCAGATTTGGTCAAGGACAAAAACCCACTGGCAGTTAGGCCTTATGGAATTTATAAGCATCCTTCTGCTAACATATATGTCTTTTTGTGCTTCCTAACAGTGTCACTGCTGTGCTTGATCAAAGCTGACAGTTGTGTTAAAGTACAGGCATCAGTTAGTGTTGAGCATTAGTGGAACAGTTTGAGAGCACAAATACTATAAATTGAGGTGGTATTATACAATGGAAATATACTGAAGATCTGAGTTCAGGTCCTAACTTCAAAGACATGTTTGTCTCTGGACAATGAACTGTTCTGGACTTTGGTTTTCTCATTTATAAATCAGGAAATTGTACTAGATAATCTGATCACTAAAGTCTGTTTATCTCTGAGTTTCTAGTACTATAAAGAATGTTCACCAGTAGTCTAACTTATATAGTAGTCTAACTTAAGAAGTCTGGAATAACAGGTACTGTTCCCAGTTTAACACAATATTTTTATGTGTTTCATTGTATTTTGAGTTTTGTACACTGGCTACCTAATCTTTAAAGTAGTGTTAAGTAATAGTTGTCCCCAAAGAGAACAGGACTGTTAACTCAGTACTCACCATTCATTCATTCTTTAAAAAGTTTACATTATGAAAATTTTGAAACATGCATAAAAATAAAATAGTATAATGATCCTCTATGAACCGAAGAGCCACCTTTCAGCATTATTTGTCAGTTTTGTTTCATGTTATCCCCATTCCTCCCCACTGGAATGTTTTAAAGTAAATCCTACGTATCATATAATATCATTCATGTACACTTTAATATGTATTCCTAAAAGATGAGGACTCTTATTATTAGATATAATCACAACATCATTCTTCTAAGAGAATTATAAATAATTTTTAATATCTAATATCCAGTTAAAGTGTGTATTTCCCCAGTTGTCTCAAAAATGCCTTTCTTGCCTAGCTCAACAATATTTCCAATTTGGTTATAATTATCTTAACTTTAAAAACTCTTATTTTTAAAAAACAATCTAAGCAAGGTTGATTCTTTATATTTGGCTGATAACAGCTCTCCCCTTTATTCATGTCATTTATTTGCTAAAAAACTAAGTCACTTATACTGTTCAGTTTCCCATATTGTTGATTTAACTGATTGCGTCTTTCTAATGCCATTGTACATGTTATACAATTTCCTATAAACTGATGATTAGATCTAGCATGTTGGCTAGAACCAGGTTCAGTATTTTTGGCAAGAGTTCTTTATAGGTGATGATGTATATACACATCAGAAAGCACACAATATCTCTTCTTAGTGATGTTAAAAATCGAATGTCAACCTCATCTATCCATTATAAAGTTCCTCATTAACCTTTCACATATTGGCGTTAGGATCATTGCATAAGAGTTATATTGATGTTCATTTTTTTAATTCAGCTAATAGTTAAACTCCTGCTTTATGCCTATACTAGACCCAGCACATGTTAGATACTTGATAAATCTGTCCTCTTCTGTAGTCCAGTCAGTAAGGTATCTACCCCATTGGTAGATGCTACAAAGTATTAGCTTTTCACAACCCCCTGGAAAGTTAGGAATACAAGCATGTCTACAAGTCACTATTGGAGAATTTATCCCCCAGGCCCTCCCTGTTTTAGCTTTTTTCTGTCATTGGAGCTAAACATAAAGTCAGAATTCTATCAGGTAGTACAAGTTCACTCCAATACATAATAGTGAAAGTAATATCTATAGACAACTTTGGTTCTTCAGTGGAATTTCTGAGTGTCAGTATTGTTTATCAACATGGAAAGTATTCAGTGAGGAGCCCCTTTGCACAGTTTGTTATTATTCCAGTTGTGAGGGAACCTTAAAAGATCACATAACCCAACCCTTTTATTTTTACATAGATTAGTAACTTGGCATCCAAAGTTACCCAGCTTGGTGAAGGGAAAGTGGGACTAGAACCTTGTTCTCTTCTTTTTCTTTCAGTGTTCTTTAGTATATTTCATTGCCCTTTGCTTTTCAAACATTCATATATTTAATAATTTTATGACAACATTGTTTCTATTGTACTTTCTGACTAGACTTCAAATCACTCTTTTCCTCAAACATTGCTCTATGAGTTTAGATCATTGCCCATATAAATATATGTGTGTGGATTTTTTGTTTTTTACCTTTTCTATTTTAGATGCAGCAGTTCTTGGGAAGACCCCTTGTGAAAGAATCTTTCTTTAGACCCATACTCACTGTTCCTCAAATGCCTGCTGTTTGCCCTGCAGTCATCTCTGCACCTGGCCAACCTAGACCCTCCCTGGTACAGAGCCCTTCTTGTTGGATTAGATATTAAGTAGTTCTTTATTACTACAGTGGACTTCCATATGAACGTCTGTCTTCTCTTTGTTCATTTATTTGATAAATGATGACGGTGGCGGTGGTGGTAGTAGTGATGATAACTTCATAATCATTGATTATATGGTTCCATGTAAGGCACTGTGTTAAGGGTCTTACATATTTAATTGACATTAGCTTAGTTTTTGGATACAAAGATATGTTTTTATAGTAGAGAATCCTTATAATTACAGTTTGTTTCTATAGCAGATGACAGTGATGGGTAGATTAATATTTTAATAGATAATGTATATTTAGATTAATATTTTAATAGATAATGTATATTTAGCATGATTGTTGGGTAGATTGAAGAGCAAAGAAGCCAAGTCACAACAAACTAAATTTTACCTCAAAGCTAAAGAAAAAATTATACACACAGGCATATACACACCCACAAACATATATGTAGGTATAGTAGGATACTATTTATCTATAAACAGATAATATAAAAAGTATCACATTGGAACATATTATACTAAAAAGTTATAAATCTTCCAAGCTGCAAATAGCTAGGTAAGTCTCATTCAAATCTAAGGAAGCAATAGAGAAATTTAAAATGAATAAGATTATTGGTTATAATCTTACGTAAGGTAAACTTTTTTTATTAAAAGAAAAATATTTTCCCAGAAGATCATGTTAAATATAATTAATAAAAAGTTCTCTAATCTTGACTTTCCAAGTACGTTCTAGCCATTTTTTTGGTACCTATATGTTACTGACAGTTTCCCTTTGAATTATATAGTCATATGAACTCTGCTTATTTTTGTAGAGACTGCCTCTCTGCAAACAAATATGTATATAGACTTTTACATGTTAAGTAAGTACCAGATCTTTTTATCACCATGATTTCACATGTCTTGCTCCTGCACCATTCTATAAGGAACTATGGTAAAATTTTATTGAAAATATTAAAGTACCTCAACCTTCTAATAAGATTACTTTCTAATTCCTGGGAAAAAGCTGGATACTGAGGCAAACCCAGATTTTTGGGCAGTATTCTGCTCTTTCTCTGACTTACTAGGCTTTGTATGAGTTATTCCAATGGCTGTTAGTAGTTACTGGTTTTTATGAGTAATAACCTTACATTTGAAGATAACCTGTAGAGCCTTAGGTAGAAGATGCCATGTATATGATTATTCTACTAATCAGATTAGCACTCAGAAATATTCACAGAGTTTTCACTTCATGAGATGTTGGGAAGGCATTCTAATGGTATTCTCATATTTGCTTAGATGTTTGAAAATTCAACTTTATTATTTCTCTAATTATAAAAGTTGTATATGCTAATCATAAAACAAATAATATAGAAATACACAAAATATATATAAAATATATCATAAAGAAATAGACAAGGCAGAAAGAAAAATTACCCTGCAGTTGAATCCTAGGAAATAACCACCGTTTATATTGTTTTATAATTTATAGACATTGTTCTGTACATACACCTTAAAATTTTTTAATATAAAATGAGTCATAACATAAATATTCTGCCACAGACTTTTTAAAAAAGTAGTAAAACATATTTCATAGACATCTCTTATGCTCAAACATATAGATCTATTTTTAAGGGCTCAATATGCTGTATTTACTCATTACCCTATTAACAAACTTTAGGTTGTTTTCAGGTTTCATTGTTATAAAATACAGAAATAAACACCCTGTATGTATTTCTGTATATGTTTGCAATTACTGAGACTATTAGGTCCCATTTTTAAAATAAGGGTAATATAAACAATTAGAAATATTGCTATGATAGTTAAGAAAAAAACTCTAAAAAGGGAACATGTATGTTAATATTCCTCTTTATTCTACCTATTTTCTGAGGTATGGAAATATCATGTTGGCATGGAATGTTACTTCCTAATAATTGAAACTGATGGGTTATAACTCTTTTCTTTATAGATGACTGGCATAGCCTGGACTGTGCCAGGACCAGTGGGAGAGCCTGTGTCCCCCAGTGCAGGTCTGGGAAGTGATCTCTCTATGATGAATTGGGAGAGGATTACAGACAGGCTGAAAACTGCCTTTCCACAACAGACCAGGTACCTTAGTTTATATTTAGTGGTGAGTACAGATCATATGCTACAGTCCATAGCCATAATTACAGCAATGCAACATTTCAGAGAAACATAACACACAAGTATAGGTATTTCCTTGCTGTCCTTGGTAAGGAAAATGAAGTTTATCAAGGGATAGTGTTCAATAAAATATTAAACCTCTTCACTGGAGTTATTAATCTTAAGTCATGAGAGAATACATTTTTAAAATTAGGTCTGTTCATTTACTGAACGTGCAGGTAGTTGTAATTTTAATCAATTTTAATGCCACCAGCTGCAATAATTATCTAATAACCCATTTCTAAAAAGAATTTGAAGTTGATTGTATGCCATATAAGCCCAGATATGATCAGATTTTACTTTCCTATTTTCTTAATTTTATTGAGGGTCCTTACAGTTTCTTTGTTAGGAAATACAGTTGAATGCAAGAAATCATAATTTTACTGTGCTTTTCACAGTTTTGACTTCACTAGAAAGATATTTAATTCTACTCCAGAAATGAAGTTTCTTTTATGTTTATTCTGATATCCAAGGAAATTTCTAGTTACCCAAGCTAGGTTTTTATTAGTATTTTTATTTACAGACTAATACTTTTATTTAATATACATACTCTTATACTTCAGGATAGATTATGGTTTTATAAATATCATAAGTAGATAATAAAAATAGAACTTTAATACATTTGTTATAAATATGTATGTATAAAATGAATAAATAGTAAATCAAATATAGTTTTATAAGGCTGATGACAGGACACTTCATTTGAAAAAGAAAAATACTTCATCATCCTACCCTACTGTACTAATGTGTTAAGAATGATAAAGGAAAGAGAGACCAATAATAACAGTTAAAAAGGAATATTTAGTCCTAGTAAGAGAGCATTGAGAGATGGGATATAAAGAGCTCAGAGTATAAATTAAGTAGATAACAAACTTAAATTTCACACAGTGAGTTTTCAAAAACAGTTAAAATGTTTTTCTAAAAGAAAATAAATACTAAACTTTTTCTCTCATGAACATATTAATTATTGTTAATGAGACAGACATTAGGACTTTTCATTTGGTTTAAGATCAATACAGATGGACTTCTGATCACTTTTTTAGATCAAAGATCTAAATCAAGACATATCAGTTGTACAATAGGATTTTATATCTCGTTTGGAGAGCACATCCTCAAGGCAGTGGGAAAAATCACCACTGCTCTTTCTTTGATCTCTTCCAGAAAGGAGCTTACAGATCTGTTACGGAAATTGAAAGATGCTCATGGAAAGTCCCTATCTGGACTGACATTTGATGAAATTGTTTACAAGATTTCTCAATTTATTGACCCCAAGAGAGCTCAGGTAAAAACAAAACAAAACAAACAACTATATCTCTCTGCCTTTTTCCATAGTAGTTAATTGTTTTTTTAATATATATATATATTCCTATAAAGCCATCACTTCAATCATAATGGCCATATCTATTACCCACAATTGTTTTTTTCATGCCCCTTTATAAATGCATGCCTGCTGCCCCTTCTGGTGCTTAGTAGAAGGAGCGCATATCTATGTAATAAGTCTCTGACTATCATTGAGGTTATTTTTGGGAGATACTTTACTGTCATCTTTAAGGTGACTTTAGTATATAGTTAAAAACATAAAGGTGGGAAGTTTGAATTCAAAGTTGTTTTTTTTCTGCTTTACATCTTAAATGAAAAGCCTTTTTAAATTTTTTTATGAAATATAGTTGACATACAATATTATATCAATTTCATGTGTACAACCTTATGAAATGATCACCACATTAAGTCTAATAACCATCTGTTACCATACAAAGTTATTACAATGTTACCGACTATATTTTCTATGCCATACATTACATCTTCATAATTTATTTATTTTATAACTGGAAATTTGTACCTCTAATTTCCTTCACCTATTTTTCTTATTCCCTGCCCTGCACTCTACCCCGCAACAACCATCAGTTTGTCTCTAGAGTCTCTTTCTTTTGTTCTGTTCGTTTTGCTTTTTAGATTCCACATATAAGTGAAATCATATGGTACTTGTTTTTATCTGTGACTTAGTTCACTTAACAATACTTTCTAGGTCTATCCATGTTGTCACAAATGGCAAGATTTCATTCTTTCATATGTGTTGTTTTCATATCTCAGCTTCCATATCTTCCATATTATAAATAATATTGCAATGAACATATGGGTGCATATATATTTTCAAAATAGTGTTTTTGTTTTCTTCCAATAAATACCCAGAAGTAGAATTGCTGGATTATATGTTACTTCTATTTTTAATTTTTTGCAGAACTTTTATACTGTTTTCCATGGTGCTGGCAGCAGTTAACATTCCCACAGTGTATGAGGGGTTCCCTTTTCTCCACATCTTTGCCAACACTTATTTGTTGTCTTTTTGATAAGCTATTCTGACAGTGTGAGGTAATATCTCATTGTGGTTTAGATTTGCATTTTCCTGATGATTAGTGATGTTGAATACTTTTTCAGATGTCTGTTGGCCTTCCATATGTCTTCTTTGGAAAAATTCCTATTTGGGTCCCCTGTTTTTTATTTTTTATTTATTTATTTATTTTTTAAATGCCAGTTTATTATTTTTTTTCATACTATATACACATAATTTTTTTTAACATTTTATTTTTTTAATTTCTCCCTTCTCCCACTCCCCTCCCATCTGGTAACCACTAGTCTATTGTCCATGTCCATGAGTCTGTTTGTTTCTCCTGTTCATTTGTTGCTTTTAGTTTTATATCCCACATATGTGATATCATGTAATTTTCAATCTTTTCTATTTGGCTTATTTTGCTTAGTATGCTTATTTCAAGGTCCATCCACATTGTTGCAAATGGCAGTATTTCATCTCTTCTTATAGCTGAGTAATATTCTATTGTATATATGTACTACAGCTTCTTTAGCCAATAGTTTATCGTAGGACACTTCGGTTGCTTCCATGCCAGCCTCATTCTTTTTTCTCAGGATGGCTTTGGCAATTGGGGGTCTTTTGTGCTTCCATACAAATCTGATGATTTTTTGTTCTATTTCTTTAAAAAATACCAATGGAATTTTGATGAGGATTGCATTAAATCTGTATAATGCTTTAGGTAATAAGGTCATTTTATTAACTATGTCAATTCTTCCAATTCATGCCCACAGAATATCTTTCCATTTCTTTGTGTCTTCTTTAATGTCCTTTAATAATGTCTTACAGTTTTCAGTACATAGGTCCCTTATATGCTTCATTAGGTTTATTCCTAGGTTTTTTATTATTTTTGTTGCAATTGAAAAAGAAATTTTTTTTTTCTTTTTTTTCTGAAAGTTTATTCTTAGAGTATAGGAATGCTATGGATTTTGTATGTTGATTTTGTACCCTAAAAATTTACTGTTTTTGATTATTATTTCTAATAATTTTTAGTGAAGCTTTTAGGGTTTTCTAAATAGAAAATCATGTCATCTATAGAGGGTGACAATTTGACTTCTTCATCCCCTATTTGGATGCCTTTTATTTTTCTCTTGCCTGATTGGTCTAGCTAAGATTTCCAAGACGATATTAAATAAGAGTGATAATAACGAACAGCCTTGTCTTGTTCCTGACCTTAGAGGGAAGGTTTATAGGTTTTCACTATTAAATGTAATGTTAGCTGAATGTTTTTCATATATGGACTTTATTATG